TGTTCGCTTAATTGTTCATGGTAATTTATTCGACAATTCAATGACAATGTCAAAATGATCTGAAAATCCAAAACAATACTTGCAGCCCGCAATTGCGATTGCAATGTAGTATATTCCCGCATGTTTTGTTCACAAGGCATTGGTTAATGTTATACGTGATAAACTGATATACACTCACAGATTGATCTCAAATTCGTTTGCATTATAAGTCTCATAAGTCTCACACAGCCTCTAACTGTAAGCATGACAACCTGTCTTTTATAACAAGCTTATTTAGTTAATACATACTGAAAATTGATACTGTCTGGGATAATTTTTAAAGAGGTCGATACACGTCTCGGCCTTTGGAACATATCAGCCATCACATTAGCGATATTATAATAGTCAAAAAGTCATTCGTTTTAACGCAATTCCCAGTAGGTATATTATTCCTCTACTTAAATATGGTTTCGAACAATCCTGAACTTGCTATATCTAATACTCATTACTGCATGCGGAATATTAAATAAAAAGTATTCATTCGCATCCCTAAACATCTCAAAAAAAAATGGGTTTACTTAAATAACAAATAAAATTAAATAATAGTTCTTATAAATTTTTAGTCCAAAAACGCTTACATGCAAATATATTTGCCTACCTTACTAGCAATACTAGCGATATTTTAAAAAATCTGTGACTTTCCTGTGACATAGCATGAAGCAAATTGCGAGTTTCCCATTTCAGGAATGTGAACGCGAATGGCTACAACTTAAATATCTTACATTAAGTATTGGCACCATTTCTATCAGATTTATCATCAGAATGATTTTTGGTATCTTCTGGTGACTATGTTCGTAAAATTTATTCAAGCCATATGGATTAAATTATCTTCTAAAAGGATTTATATTTTCTTATATTAAGGAATGGATCACTCAACCTATTATATATAGCGACTATTCCACAGCATCCGTGGCTTTCTGCCTCAACTGACTGAAACGTTATCTAAGTGTTTTAATGGAAATTTGAAATTGTGTTAGATCTGTGCTTAGCACATAGTCTTATTTGTTGGATATAATGTTGGCAGAACAACAATATCATCCATTAAGCTTGCAAACACTGCAAACGTAACGGTAAGAATGTTTTAAAAAAAATACTCTCAGACTAATCCGCGGATACCAAATTTGAATACACGCACGAAACGTCGTCAATTTCTAAGGCAGTGATCGGTAGTGCAAATAAGGAATTACATCATGCCTATTTTTGGAATAAACACGATTCGTTAGCTTAAGCTTTATAACCTGCATACATAAGCAAATTTTAAGGTTATTTCAAGGTTCAATGTTTGTCCAATAAATATGTGCAAAGCCCGGCCCGTCAACCAAACCGGCGATATCACCAACACTTAACAATATACTCACGTATACGAAAACTTGGCATTGCAGATTTCTGTAAGAGATCTTTAGAGGGCCCCGGCACTTAATTTGAATATATATGTGGAACAGCAAATTTGTCGTTTTCTTCGAAAATGTACGCTATTTTCTTCGTGTATTGCTTAATAAACTACTGAATTAAGTTGAGCTTTTTTTTAAAAAAAAATCGTTACATTGAGTTTTTGTTTTATCATCAAAATATCTGTGAAACTTATTTAAATAATTCTCACTGTCGATATACCAGATGTGCCAAGCAATTATTAACCGAAACATTTTTATTTCTTCAGAATATGATTTTTGGAACTTTGGATATTACCACCTCAGACTATTATGGATTTAGTTAAAGCGTCAATTGTTTAAAAAAAGAAACGGTTTTCCGTTCATCTTATTGTTGGTGGCAAACTTTTAAATGAGCGCATTTTTTTTTAAATAGGTATAGGCCTCTAATTTTATTTCTAAATAATTTTATGCGAAAGGACGTTTTTAAGAATTTATAATAACTTCTCCAACAATGCAGAGAGGAACGGGAAATAACTTGCACATGTAGCGAAATCACCAGTGAGCGTCAACATATGTGCGTTACATTATTACAGTAATAAATTTTAAAATAGATCAGGATGTGATTTGTTAAGAAATATGTTTATTTATTGCAAAGAAGTTACGATTGCGCGGCTAACTCTAAAATAAATATAATGGGGTAATGTAATTTTTCAGTATGAGTCATTATTATTAGAGATACAAAAAATATATATGAAGCTTTAAAGATATCGAACGGTGCATATTTTATAATTGCTTTTTTATCCATGAAGTGTACGAAAGGTCATTTTAATACCTTCTGGCTTTTTGGTTTTTGAAATCTGCAATAGCTTTTTTGTTCTATAAAATTTATGCCATTTCCTTAATGTGCTGCGGTATCATTAGTTAGTGCTAATGTGGACTGGAATTAATTAATTTCTAATAAATTAATTTCTAGAACAAGATGAACAATATTTGAATTTACACTTTTTAAAAGTAAATTTTATTTGAATAGGGAACTTAAACGAAATTGAATTTGAAAAATATTGCTTATAAAAGTAAGGTTATACTATTAAAAAACTACAGTTCGCAGAAACAAATCAATTTCGCAGTTCTATGTAACAAATATAATCAATTAAAAATTATAAAATTCAAATCCTCTTTTAACGCGCTGTCATTGGCCGTGACCGGTTGTGACGCCAGTTCGCTCGTAAGACTACGCGCCAGCATAGAGAGAGAACCCATTAGAAAACGACAACGCTTGCTTTTGTTATCTTGTATTTAGTATCAAAAAGAAAGTTTTGAAAATGACAGAAGCCGATTTTGTTTATGGTGACATTTTTTTTTAAGCTAGTGGAAACCTAAATACTGATTTTAATAGAATATTATGCAACAAGTGAGGTAATAGTATGTTATGTAACAAGTGCGGTAAACGGCATTTGACTTGCGAGTTTGTTTGACACGAGCGAGTGTTTAATAAATAAGTGACTCAGAAAGTTTATCAAACGTGTTGCAACACGAATGCATTCACTGACATGACCGTCAGAGTGGACAAACGTCAAAATTCAAGGAGTGGGAAATATCTCCGAAAACATCCGATTGCTCGCAAACCTGTCCGGTAAAATCCCGGAAATCTCCGAAGGGGCTCGGATCCGTGGGAAATGTAACTGACGTAGTAAAGTGACGGTTCCCACAAGCTAGATCGTTGTGTAATTATTCATTTTACGGACTGAAGTGAAAAAGTATATTTTTTATTTTATATAGATCACGAAGCCATTCCTGTGGAGACTCCAATAGGATGATTGCAAATTCGAAGAGTTAAAAATGTTTTTCTACTCCCCTCTGTAAAATGCCTAATTACATACCGATCTAGCCTGCGGGAAGCTTCACTATACAATGTCAGTTTTCCACGGATCCGAGTCACTTCGGACCTTTCCGGGGTTTTACGGCATGGGTTTGGGAGCAATCGGATGTTTTCGGAGATTTTACCGCACGGTTTGAATTTTGACGTCTGTCTATTCCTGTATGTATTCCAAATACATAGAAAAATTTTATACAATATATCACACAATTTAAATACTACGTGCTATAAGCTACAATTAAAATCTAGTGGACTATTCGGTAAGTAAAGTGACATTTATAATTTTTAAGTTTCCCATTACATACCGTTCGCATGAACTTTAGTGGTTTTTACAGTTTTTATATTAATATCTTGCCTAGACCAATTGAACCATTTTCAAATATCCGTGTGTCATTATCAGAAATAAAACAAAATTAAAGGTTAAGTCCTGCTTTTTCTTGTTTACACGATCTTAAAAATTTAATCTTAAAAGCTCTACCCTTGGAGGGTTTTTCTTCCAATTACAGTCTTTTTCTTTAAATGAACTACTTAATGATAAATTGTAAAAGTTAAATAAACAACATAACGTTTTAAAATTGTGTTTATTCCGTTGTTTATATGACATATCCAATAATACATCTCTCTCTATCTAACGCACACACGCACACAGTTAAAAAAAGATAACAATAGCAGAACCGATCGGAACGATAAACGAATAGGTTTAATGGCCACTAGTAAAATATTTTGTTTAAATGGTACGAAATTTAGTAATCCAATAATCTGTTATTATTTTTAATTTGTTAAATTGTCATTTTTTTCATGACGGTCGTAAAAAAAGTAAGTATGCAACACGTTTGGTAAACTCTTTATCTCACTCGTTTATTAAGCACTCGCTCCGGTGCGCTGCGCTCGTGCCAAATAAACTCGTGAGTCAAATGCCGTTTACCGCACTTATTGCGTAATATACTATTGCACGGTTAAGACTAAAGTAAGATCTGAACATAGTGTTAACAAAAAACGGCGGGTTTTATTTTCTGGTAGAGGAATAAAAGATTTATCTGGCGTTTTGCGGGTTGTACTCAAACACGATGGAACGATTTTTAATATTGTTTTTGTGTTGCTTCCAACTGCAACTGGCGAGATAAAATACAAACACACCTTTACACGAGCCAAAAATAAACGTAAATAATATAATTCTCGGCCTATAACCCGAGAATAACATAACACTATAACATGTCGCCTTTTCGATCGAAAAGCAGCGGTATGACATCACGGCCATTCCCGCGCATTTAATGTAGTCCAAAAGGAATAGTGTCACAACTTGAATTATTTATTGCATCTTAAATATTGAAGAAATTAAAAAAAAACTGTTCAAGTTCCTTATTGAACTTAATTTCAATAAACGCTCCTCAGTTGACTTTCTTTTACTGCATAAAAATGCAGTGCAGTTTTATAAAAAATATTTTTCTTAACTTAAAGAGAAAAGGATGACTTCTATTTCTTCTTTTTCAAAAATGATTTAAAAAAAAACAAAATCAAGATCTTCTGATCTTCCTTCCATTTAAGATTTTTAAATAAATAGGTGACAGGCTCGCGTTATTCAAGTCAATTCAACACTTTTGAATATTTCACAAATGTTTTTAGAGATACTTGGGGTGCAAAGAAGAAGAGAACGGAAACAGCAAGGCTTAGAGTATTCGGACGAGGCACTTACATTTTGCGGTGACGCATCTGGAACCAGCTTCTCCTTCCTTTGCCACTCGTTTATCTTGCGCAGTGACAACGTAACGTATTTTCTTTCTACGTCGCCCTTAATTCATCGGCCTCCGCTCCCTTTCGTATTACACCGCCCTTTCCATTATTAAAAAGCAATTTGCGCAGCTATTCAAGCTCGCGTTTACGTAACCAACGACGAAGATTTTCCCGCTACGTCCGGTGCGGCGGCGGCGTCCCGGATGCTGGGCGTTGTCACGGCAACCGTCAAAATAAACCGAAGAGCGAGGCCGGTCTGTGCATTTTCCGGATGCACAGCCAGCCAGAATCCTCTCCGACGATTCACGAAGCTAGCGAACGGGAGTTTTATCTCCGCGATCCAGACGTCCGAAGTGCGATGAGGGAGACGTTACAGGGGTGTGTCTGGTGTTCGTTGTACTCGTGTGCCGCATTAACGAAGGTGTGGTTACGAATCGGGAGTTGATATTTGCAGATTTCGAGTGTTAGCGAGTGCCGTTATCGGTGTAAGCCAGTCAAAAATATTAAGCGCATGTTCCGTAAGAAGAAAGTTAGTCTGTAATTAAACGATTGAGAACAATAATTTGAAGGGAAAAGTTGTGTAAACAATATTCGAGCAATTTTGACGCTGTATGGGGATGAATTGCGGATATCGCTCTGCCGGATAATTGAGACATCGAATGATTTTTCTAATTGAGTAAACACCAGCGTAGTTTTTTCTGCAAAGAAGAGCAGTTGCGAATGTTTATTTCGATTTCGCAAATGGGATCACTAAATTATTCATACTTCGTATACATCTCGACAGATATCGTTTATTTTTCATTCGAATGATTCGAACATTCCGTGTTTCGAGAATCGAGAACAAAATTATTATATATTCGAATTCTTAAAAACTAGCACGATGTAGTACTGCTGGTAGATAAGAATTTAATAAATTTGCGCAAATAATAACTGAGTTGAGCGAAATAAACCTGCCAAGTGCTATGGATGGTGATCCCTTTTTTTTTTAGAGAATCAGTGATGAAAACCAGGACTTGCTATCGTCTTTTATTTTGAATACATATCAAAAAGTTTTTCTTGTCTTAGAAGATACCAAAAAGAATTGACACTTGAACTTTCAAGATCTTCTTTTTGGTTGACACTTTCTTTATCTCGTGAATAGTCTTCTTTTTTTCTCTCTTTCATGATTGTTCATCGTTCAAAAAGAACACAAACGCTCTATTTAACAAGTTTAACTGCCTATGAGTTGCATATAAAAAACAACAATAGAAATACCAAGAACAAATAACAATATCTGTTTAAAGCATCCAATTTTACTCAAAAAAGTGCTTAAAGTGCGCATCTTTAATCACAATCGCAAAAAAAAAACATTTTTGCGTTACTCTAAATACGCTCTAGAATGTGCCATCTATATTTCCATAGCTCTTATACTTACTGAGATCTCCTAGGAAACTGCATTTGCATAACGGTAAACTATAATGTGTGGCGGGTCTGCAGCTTATTTTGTATGCTAGAGTATTCTTGTTGAGAGTGAGTAGAACCCAGCATTCATAAAAAAAATCCCAATGAACATACAAAAAGAAATATTATAACAACTTTTGGGTTTTCTACAATTTTGACCAGTCTATTGTTCATTAGTGTTATTATTATTACCCCAAAAATAGCGTATTTATTGATTTTCTGCAGATCATCCCTCCAGCATTGAGATTGCTTTAACCGTTTCCATTATATTTGCAAAAAATGAAAAAAAACTGATGTTTTCTCTTTAAATTGTTTATGAAATATTAACAGTTGATGCCTAGGATTTATAAAAAATATATAATAATGAACTACTAAGGTAACCTTCTGACGGTTTGTCGTACACGTTATCTTTTGACTGGTTTACTCTTTAACCCTTAGAACGAAATGCGCGTCGAAAAATTCGACCCTCGTTTACCCTTCGAACGCTCCCGCACTGCGGATGACGGAGGGGTGTTGATTGATATGACGCCCAAGATCTTGTATAGGTTGGCGTTTACGATATGGCACGTGTCGTTCTACATTGAAAATAGACAGGTGAAAGTATTTGCCTTGCTCTTCTTTCTTATTTATAATTTTTGACAAATGTACTCAAGCAGTGGGCACTTGTTGATTGTTTTCGAGGGAATCAAAAATTCAGAACTGACAACATTTGAATTGTCGTAAATGCGTTATGGTTAAAAGTGCTCGTAGAAATATCCAAACAAAAATTTGAGATCCTGTATATCCAAATAAAAATGGCGGTTTAGTTCAACTGTGAATTACTTGCAGCATATATGGTGGTGACATTTTGTCAAATTATTAGAAGAAAATCAATTATCAAAAAAGTTAAAAAAGAGGTAACCATCAATCAAAGCATTATGAACATCGTCAAAATTGACCAAAATAATTATAATTTATATTTTAAGAAGTGAGGATTGATTCAATTCAAGAAAAAACAATTTTCTCAATATTTGATTGTTTATTGTTACTGTCAAATCTGAACTTGCTGAAATTTCTTGATTCTATTTAATAAGTACAGCCCCAAAGAATTTCCGTTTTCAATAGTGTGACTTCATTGCTTATAGCGACTTAAATCGGTGCTGCTCATTCATGTTGCGTATCCTATTACAGGTTCATGAAAACTAAATAGAGAAAATTCAAATTTATTATCAGACTGTAATGAATTTAATATACTAGGGTAGCGCCAAAATTTTCCTGCCTGAATAAGTAGAGTAACAATTTTTTATTATTTTTCAATATAATCCCCCTTAACTTCAATACACTTATTACATCTCTTTATTAACAACTCAATTTCTTTAAAAATATATTTTTTTGGTTTGTCTGCTGAGCCAAAACAGCCTCTTTTAACTCAACTTCGTCGTTAAACCGCCGTCCACGTAAGTCCTTTTTCAAATATCCAAACAAACAATAGTCGCCGGGGGCCATATCTGGACTATAGGGAGGATGATCTATCTGTTGGAACCCACACCCTAAAATGGCAGCTTGTGCAACACCAGCAGTATGGACAGGTGCATTATCGTGCAAAAGACGCACACCTCTGGTCAGTTTTCCTCGACGTTTTACACGTATGCAGTCTCGCAATTTATGTAATAATGTTGCGTCATATTTACCATTGACAGTGGTATTAGTTCCTTTAAAATCTATCAAAAGAATTCCTCCACAATCCCAAAAGTTCGTGGCCATCACCTTTTTTGTTGACTGACAGACTCTGATTTTTTTTGGAGGTGCTTCACCCTTACGACGCCACTCCATTGATTCTTTTTTCGATAGAGGGTCATAATAGAGAACCATAGTTTCATCTCCCGTTACAATAGTTTCTATCACATTCTTAGGTTATGACCCACAGAGTTCCAGAAAAAACAGCGCACACTCGACACGGCGTTGTTTTTGAATAGCCGAAAGGTTTTTAGGAACCCATCTTGCACTAACTTTATGCATACCTAAATGAGCATGCAGGATTCGACTAACACTTGTATCAGAAAGCTTAGTAATTTCTCAGATTTCCTTAACCTTTAAACGTCGATCACTCAATACCACCTCTTCCACAATTGCAACAATATCTTCCGTTATGACCTCTACTGGTGGACCAGTTCTTGAATCATCTTCAAGGGCCTCCTGTCCCATTCGAATACAGAATACGAAGGAGAACTTTGGCCGTATACACCATCTTTCTTTAGTAATTTTAGGTGCTAAGCCTTCTTTTGTTAAAAACTTTATGACTGCTCGATACTCAATTTGCGTTATGTGCGACATTTTTTCAGACAGGTCTTGTTTAAAATGCTGTCAATAAAAAACTATTTGACGCAAGACTTTAATTTTTTGTTCGCAGCCTACTAAGATACATATTTAAAAGAAGACTAAGTTTTATCGTGATACTGGAGCTGCATCTATGTCAGGCCGGGAAATTTTGGCGCTAACCTCGTATATTTCTTGGCCGCGTTGCGTCATTACCAGAAAAAGCGGTACACCTACAGTTCAGAAAGGATGGGGTGGTTATTGATAATGTAATTTTGTTGGATAAGATTTAGTTAACTGCTATAGCAGATTAGTTTTTTGAAAAACTATAGACAATGATCCGTAGTTAACATAAAGGTACACATATAAATAGTAATATACTTAAATAGACATGTTTTTGTTAATTTGGGAGGAAATTGGATTGCCAAACAATTGTTTCACCGAATCCATGAAATCCCAGAAACGTTGCTAACTTGCCCTTTGTCCATGGATATTTCATCGAAATGCAAAAATATAATCAAAATGAAAAATACCAATCTTTTCTATCTGATTATTAATATTCATTTAAACAGTTCACAAAATTGCTGTTAATTCGGCTAAACAAATTTTAACCAAAAATTTTGATTTGATGCTATAACTGCTAATGAAACTTTTTGCAGTCCTGTAATTTTCTTTGTTTTCGTTTCAGCACTCCGATACCAAGACGCAGGAAAATGAAGAAACTGCAAAAGTGAGTAAACTATTTTTGCACCAAATACATAAAAACTTCCCTTTGTTATATCCATGTTACAAAATTTTGTATTTCTTTCAATTCCTGGAGTTTTTGCGAAGTTTATTCGAAATTAGTTTAATTTATCATTTCTAATATTTTCACATTTACTTGTTCATAACTATTTTTTGTTTCCTTCAACTTTGAACTTTATTGCAGATGTTGAGATCCAACACGTATAACGGGCGAGATGTTCACCGGAATCAATTGACACTGGGAAGATCTGGCTCGGCGACGACAGCAAGCATGGATTTGAGCTACGTGACCGAAAGGATTATTTCGATGTGGTTTCCACCCTCCGTCTCTCCGCACTCATTTAGACAGAGTCAAAGGCAAGCGGCCCACATGCTCATGAACAAACATGGGTATAATTATATGGTAGGTGAACATTTTACCTTACCTATATAATTATGGCAAAAGGCCGTTGTATACGCGGCATTAATTGAATAATCTCGTATATGGGTGGATCGATTATTTATGTTACTTTATCGCAAATACAGAAAAAGGAGACATGGATTACAGATTTTAATTGCAAATGTCGAAAAAAATAACATCGTTCCTATAGAAATTTTTTTTTTCGCATCACGTTGAAATTTTTGAAATATGCTGCACAAAAGTATCTGTAATTGAATTAAATACAAAATTACAATGGAATGATTTGGTAACTTTAAATTTTATGGTAAATTTCTCCTATAAACGTAGCCTGTTCTAATTAAAATCATTTGTCAAAATGTATGTCATATATTTGACTGCCGACTAGTCAACGTTAACTTTATACCACTGCAATGTCGATTGCGAACTCTTTTAAGCGTGATGCACCTGATATATCGATGCAGTTAGTCAATCCGGTTGCTAAATACAATTTTTGTGGTAATATTACTATGCATTTTTCGATACATAGTTTTCTGTTGAGAAATAAAATTATTATTATTATTACTCTTCAGTCAACACTGCAACTGTAATTACAATTTAAATATGCTTTTTATTTTATAATTTTTTTTTTGCTCAAAATTTTTTTCTTCAAAATTAGATCAACCAAAAAATTAAACATTTAGTCCAGTTTTTCTATCAAAACATGAGTATTGGTTGAAATTGTGTTTTAAACTACTGTTACTCCAAAAATATATCAGATTAATCTGTTAGTTGCTTTTAGGTATTCATTTTTTTAATTTTTAATTTTAAACTTTATAGATTCTAACAGTAACACGGGTAATTTACCCATTCGTACGTGCTTAGTGGTTAATTTAATTATTTATCGATATGTTTTTCCATTCTCTGAATTAACTTTTGACTCATATTCTATCTACCTTAGAAAATTCTAATTTAAATTTATAAAGCGTTTTGGTTTGAAATATTTCGCTTTTTACCTGGTGTTGATTTGCCTCTCAACAGACGTAAAAAAGACAAAAAGTAAGGTTAGGCGCCGCCATGGGAAATCCCGAAATAACTCGAAACGACTCTTGGTCTGTCGGTGAAGGTAGATTACAAAAACAACCTGAGATATGTGTCTTTTACTTAATAAATCTCCGGGTTGCTTTTTAATATATAGATACCAGAATTTATTTTTGTTTTTTGGGCGAACAGATATTAAGTATAATTTTGACAACATCTGGAATAATCTTTGGTGTCTTCCTAAAAACTTTTGAACCAAAAAATCTCTATACAGGGTGTGAAACAATTGATGATGGATGGGTATTATGATATCAGAAACTGTTGAATGGAAATATAAAAAAAAACTAAAATAATGACTATAGAAGACGTATGAGTAATCGAATGTTATTCGTTCATTACCTTTTTCATGACTTTTCCCGCTTTGCGGTATGACCAAATTTCCTATCGGTTGAATGCTACGATATGTGTGGTAACCTAAATCATGAAACCTAAAGTAGTTGACACAAATCTAGGTGCAAAAGAAATAGTTAATAGAAAGTGTAATTACGTATAAGTCGGTTAAGTCCAGTTGTTGCACTGCCAGCTTTCTAACATTTCATATCTTTTGTTTCAGGTGTTTAACCTATCGGAACCAAAAAAATCTTTGAGAAACGAACACAAAAACGTGACGGAAGCGAGCTGGACCCCTAACTTGGCACCCCCTTTAGAGAGGCTCTGTAGCATATGCAAAGAAATTGATTCGTGGCTCTCCAAGGATCAGCACCGAATAGCGGTATTACACGCAAGGTAGGGAGAATTAATTTTGTAGCCGTTACAACACAACAACAAACATTTTTACAGGGGTTCTAAAGAAAAGCTGGGTGTGATTGTCGCAGCCTACATGCATTATTCTAGCATATGCGGCACGGCTGAACAAGCGTTGGATAGATTCTCTATGAGGAAATTCTTGGATGATAATATTGGTCCTTTGCAACTGCCATCTAACCGAAGGTTGGTAGTTTGAAAACGAACAAATTGAGAATATCTGCAATAATTCGCAATATAAGATTTAGAATTAATTTAAATTAATAGAAACGTTTAATTCAGCTTTTAATATGTAATTGTAGCAATCTACATCATAAGTTTTTTTTTCTATCGTAATTAAATAAATGCAGATTTATACAAATATATAATCAAAATTTTGCACCAAATCTGGAAGTGACATTCACTTCCAATTTCCAATTTTTTTTTCTACTTTTACAGTGTTTCCTGTATACTTTGTATGCAGTTCGGTATGGTTGGGTAAAATTGCGAATATTTTACTCAATATGTGAAATATTTCTCGCAAGTGCTAAAAATTTTGGACTAGACATTAAAAAATCAAGATATCGCGACTATTTGCTTGTGACAGCATTTTAATAGACCAGGTTTACTAAAAAATATTATTTAATATATTCACAACAATATTTTTTTCTTTTTTTTTCAAGATACGTCGATTATTTTGCCGGTCTTTTGTCGCACAACATTAAAATCAACGCCGCTCCTCTTTATTTGACCCACGTGACGGTTTTGGGTGCCCCAGTTTTCCAAAACGGTGGATGCAAGGCCTTTCTCAAGCTTTACGAAGGACAGACTCCAGTTTATACCTCAGGTATGTTTAGTATATATTTTTTGAAAACTATTTTATACTCTTAAGTTAAGAACATGAATATTCCTAACAAATTCGATCATTAATTGATTTTTCAGACCACGTATTGTTGAATTTTGTTTTTGAACAGGAAAATGACTTCAAACACATCAAATTCTATTTCTTCTGATTTTAATTATGTTCAGGGTAAAGCATCAATTCAAAATATTGAGGATTTCGCTTACCATGTCATGTTGTTCAATATCTGAACATTTTTACTCATTTTATTTAAACTTATTTATTAAAAAATATAACACTCCTTTTAATCAATAAACTCCATTTGCACAATATACATGCTACTATAGTTTACTTTTCCACATAATCCTCTTCGTATTATGTTTTGGTTTGCCCACCTTTCGCTAATTTATTGGAAAAATGATTTTGAAAAACATATATTTAATTTAGTTAAAATTACTAATACATTTTTTAAAAATGATAATTGCATTTCAGGTGTTTATTACGTGTCAAATGGCGTGTCTCACTTTACCGTGAACATAGCTGGCGAACGAAAGAGTGGCCTTCAACTTCGCGGAGACATTTTAATCAAATGCTATCACCGAGACCTGGGCACCGGCAGAGAAACGATTTTTGCCTGCCAATTTCACACGTGCGCGGTCTCCGATCACACCCTCAGCTTTACGAAACAGGAGCTGGATTATGCCTGCAATGGTAAGCGAATTTTAAAACAATAAGGCGGTCATTTCGAATTTAACTATCTATGCAATCTCATGATCAAAGTGCTCCAGTTTTGTTTTTTTGAAAGAAAAGCTTTATATATCTTTAACTTTTTCTGCTTGGGTTTTATTTTAATACGAATTCAATGTTGCCAAAGTTCAACTTTTCTTTGAATGCAGAAGAGGATCTTTCGGTGTTGAAACTTCTAAATTCTATTGTCTCTGTTTGACCTAATGACATATCGTTTGGGACAGTGCGTTATGAAAGTTGATTGCACCCAACTCCGTCACGGATGAACAGCTTAAACCAGTATATAGACGAAACTACTGCCCTGTAAGTGCAGTAGTCTCGTAAATAGTTTATCAGTTTGAAGTTAGCAGCTAAAAGTTGGCGGCCAAAATTACGGAAAAAGCCGAACCACCAGTGGCGGCGGAGATTTCTAAACCAGTTTAGGAAGCAACTGATTCCAATTAAATAGATCTTTCGCGTTCGTTTTTAGAAAAACATTTTTATTGCAATAGGGTGAAATTTAAAAGTTGTCAATATTTTTTTCTACTTCAATAGAAATTTACACACTTTTATTTCTTGATAAAAATGTGTTTCCAAATGTTAGCTTTCGTTTGTAGTAAAAATACTCGCTTGCACTCCTGTATGGCTGTTGCTTAGGGTGAAACTTAAAAGTTGTCAATATTTTTTTCTACTTTAATCTAAATTTACACACTTTCATTTCTTGATGAAAAAGTGCCCACAAAAGTTAGTTTTGGTTTTGCAGTAAAAATATTCCCTTGCAGTCCAGTACGAGAGTTGCTATAGGGTGAAACTAAAAAGTTATAAATATTTTGTAGTGTGTAAATCTCGATTAAAGTAGAAAAAAATATTTACAACTTTTTAGTTTCACCCGTACGAGGCTTCAACCGAATATTTTCTCTGGAAACGTAAGCGAAAGATCTATTTCATTTGAATCAGTTGCTTCCTTAACTGGTTTTGAAAACTCCGCCGCCACTGATTCATCAGCTCTTTCCGTAATTTTGGCTGCCAATTTTTAGCTGCTATGCTCACACTGGTAACTAGTTTTTAGTTTACACTTGATTTTGTTAAAATTTGTTTAGGGTAGTTTTAAACCTTTGCTACGTATTATTTTTTAACATTATTTTTCGAAACGTTTAGGTATACTTCTAAAGTGATGACAAAAGATAAAGTTAGTAAAACGATTAGATATGCTTTTTTACGAGAATTCCATCATCGCCGATTTTAACACTCTCGTATCAACGACATTGCAAGGCTAAACATAGCCTCGGGCGTACGAGCATTTTTTGAAATTTTAAAATAATCGATAACATTTCTGTCTGTAGTGACAGTGCTTGGACGATGCTATTTCAAATTTATGTTTTATTAATGTGGTAAATTGTAAGCGACTAAGACAAAAAACGTCAATATCATTACAAGAGTCATTCAATAATTTCATCAACTGATAGAGAGGACCATTGATCAGAAAATTGGTTCTTAGAGTTACTAGGTGAAATACAGGTGATCCCCTTACAGTCCTTGAAGGCACATGAAAGTTCAGCTGGCTCAGCAACTCGGGGCAATCCACTAATGAATTGCCAAGTTTATATAAAAACTGAAATGAAAGGTACCTCGTCCGATTCAACAGTGACGAAATCTTAGACATTAGTAATAAATCACTTTGTGGCATTTCCTTAGCCTGGTAGAAACCATTTACATGAAAGTGAAGAAATTTCAGAAACTTTCTCACGTGTTCCATTTTAAGTGATGTACTTGCCAAATAGTGGTTGCCACACCGTTGAACCATACTCTTGCTTCGAGCGCAATAATTACAGTATAATAGTCTTAAAGTATGTTCCCTTGCAAAATCTCTAGAATTTCTCAATATGAAACCCATCATTTTGAGTGCACCGCCAAAAGTTACACCCAGGTGTTTAAAATTGTCACATTTTCTTAATAATACGTTTTCCAGATGCTAATTAAAAGTTATAGTATCAGTTTTGTTTGAAAATGTCATTGCGAAACATTTATCTGCATTCAGGGGTAGGTTATTAGAAGCACACCAAGAACCAATAATCTCCAAATCATTTTCAAGAGACACGCAATCCACCACACTATCAGTCATTCTAAACAATTTCACATCATCAGCAAAGTGCAAAATTTGACTATCAATGTTAGCTACTATATCATTAATGAAAAGCAAGAACATCAATTGCGCTAAATTGGTACCCTGACAAATGCTGCTACTGACCATACTGGATTCTGTTATGCATATATGACATTATGAATGTTACAAGATCATCACAAAATCCACACATTAGAGAGCAGTACAGTGCGGTCCACCTCCAAAAGTCTATGTATTGCCCATCCACCCGCCTCCTGTCGTCCAAAGCTTTAACAGTGAATTCTGTAAAGTAAGTCTAATTACTGATGGTGCATTAAAGAAATCATGTTGTTTGTGGCTTATCAAGTGTTTCATCTGGCTGAAAGTACTATCATGCAGCGACATTTCGAAAGCCCTCCCAAAAGGCGATATTATCGATACAAGACTTGGATATATTTGATGCTTTTCCCTCTTTTAGGCCTCTTTCTAGACATCTGCTAGGGCTGAGTTAAAAATAAGAGACATGGGTTGAACCAAAGCATATGTGCAATCTCGCACAACCAAACAAGGAACTTTGTCAGGACCACAAGATACTTTTTTCCTAACCCGTGCTAGTGCTATTGATATAGTGTCATCAATGAAGTGATCAATAGTAATAAATGGGATCTGTTGGGAGGCGTCTAGTATACCCCCTTTGAATATCCCTCCTCAAAAATTTTTATGAGCAGATTTCTATGGATAGTAACACGTGCATCTTGAAGAAGGTGTGGTAAGGTAATTAAAAAAAAATGCAGCCCCACTGAACTACTTATTATTAAAATTCACGTAACCGTTTTTTTTTTTTATGACGCTGAACTTTACGATCAACATCCGGCGATAAAAAAAAAACAAATCTAACGTTATCCGACTCCCACGTATTATAACGTGCGACAAAATATGGCACGTATGCACCTATAAATTATTGTAAACATTATTATTCTTTTGCGATATAAGCTGATAAGCGATATCGATTACAGCTATCAGTAGATACATAGATCACGCGTAATCCGTGAGCGCGAAAATAACGGTTTGCATTCATCGATGAGATCATTTCGTTACCGAAAATTGTGGCCATTTTTCCTTGAATCTATTTATTCTGTGAATGTGCTTTCATTCCCTCTTTAAGGAGTTATTTTTGTATGGCACCAGGTATTTTTTTAAATTTATTTATTGCATTTCAGCGTTTGACAAGGTAAAAGTGAAAAGTGGATTTAAGATTTAAAGCCATCATCCCTTCTTATTATAATAATATAATAATTTTGGAGAGCGCACTCTGCGTTACATTACGGTTACTAAAAAAAGAATCAAACTCCACAGCATGTAAATGTGGCAAATTAATTAAGACTTGAGCATCATTTAAAATTGGTTTCAATTTCAGTTCAGTTTTTTTCGAAAATTGGCCTAGGGAGTATTTTTTAAATAGACATTTATATTGTAGCAAACAGTACGATTAAACATTAATGAAGCTACTCTGGGTAAAGTAGCAAAGTAGCAAAGTTAAATAAAAAAATGTCCTCTCCTTTTTCGACAAATACGTCACCTCCTTGTCAATTTTTTTTTCTATCGACGCACTCTATCTAACCACTAGTAGTTACGTTCATCAGTTTTTTGTCACAATTTGTCACAAATAGTAACATCATTTTAAACGAAACTTAAAATTTCAAATGGCAAATGAAGCGTTTTAGAGCAAATTTCGATTCGAACTCTTCTTTTGTTATTAAATCATCGCCTTGCGAATCGCAAAATCTATATTTTAAAATAATTTGAATGAGAATTTACGTTTTCTGAGTAGTAAACATGAACATCTATAAAAGAATCAAACTTAAAATTAAATGTCGGTCTTTTTTTTAAGTATTTTTTTATATAATTGTAAACTAACCTGTGAAAAGTTTAATTTGGCAACACTGTACAACAACCATACAGTAAATACAGTAAATGACGTCGGTTGGTTGCTTTTAAGAGTTTTTTCCTCTCCAGTGTGGTGCAGAGCAATCACTAATTAAAATGAAATTCGCTCGAAGACAGACAAGGTGTTATTGTAATTGAAAATAATTGTGATATGAAAAATTGACTCTGTATATAATTATTCTACGCAACAACTTCAGAATTCAATATTTTAAAAAACGATTTGTTTAATTTAATTTCAGCCCGGTCAATTCATTACCATCATTATAAGACACTTAATACTTTAAGGTTCAAAATTAAGATTTAATTATTTATTTTAATTAAGCTTTGCGATAAAATTATTGATTTTTGCTTTAAAAAGAGATAAAATTATCTCCATTATCTAAAAGTAATTTATAAAGGAAATAACAATTAGTCCTTTTTTAAAGATTTTTGAAGGTTTATTGTTTTTTAAACGTTATATTGCATAAAACTTTATTAGAAAACTCGAAAATAGGAAAATTTGTTATCAGAGTTATACAAATTTGATAAGCAATCGAATATTTTGGTCTCCAAGTCTTTGGTGTAAGCGTTGATGTTTTGAGCAGATTTGCCATAGAATTAATGCTACTTTAAAAATATCAATATATTAAGTAGCTAATTTTTGAGGTTGTTTTTTGAAATAAATATACACATTAAAAAGGCCACGTTAACTTTAGTTTTAACGAAAATTACCAGGATGTACTTGACCTGGCCTCGTATATCTATTCCGAGAGCTGAACAATACTTTGTGTCACAAAAACGAAAAGAGCTTGTGAAATTTTGTTTATTTCATTTCTTTTTTCGCAATAAAGTAGGGCTCTCCTGAGAAAGCCTCATCTGTTTATATACAGGGTTAAGGTAACTAATTGCCGTATCAAAAATTTTCCAGCCGTACAAAAAAAATGAAAAATGTCTTTACTGTAATTGGGAATTGGAACTGCTGGAATTCCTGCTGCATCGTATTGTTGCTGCCGCGATGCGTACAATGCATCGAGTTTATATTATGAGCAATGTTGCACGAAAGAATGCGACGATTAAAAGGCGCGTTTTGCGAAAACGCTTTTTAATAATGTTATAGTCGACGTGTCTTCCGATAACTAGCACGAATGTGGGCAACACGTACTGAACATAAAAGAAAAAATGAAATGCGCACGAATGTACTCGAACAATTATTTATGTTGACACGTCTGGTAATTCGAGAAAATATTTTTTTGTAAACACATTTATTTCAAATACACGAATTTTCTTTTTTACTTGTCAAATTCTTATTCTTGCAATCCATTCTTCGTCTTTTTTAACTGCTGTACACACATTAAACAACGGATATAACTTAACTATACGCCTTTGTGACTTCCTTGAATATAGGTGTAATAATAAATGGCTTAAACTACAGCTGCTTTAGTGAGCTTTCGCAGATTCTCGAGCAAATATTACGTCTAAAGTGTTATCACTTCCCAGTTTACAATGACAGTGATAGCTTTCAAAAGTTAACATATGTAAATCGCAATTTAAAAGCATAATTTTCCATTGTCATAGATATTATAAATTCATCGCTTCTTCGGTCGGTCAAGTTTAATAAAATTCGCATATATTTTTATACTCACCTAAACGACCTCTTTGTTTGCAAGCTCAATTTTCTGCTATGACTGATCGTTCAAATTGAAAGGAAAATCCAGTACATATGATGGGGATGCATTTTATCCATACATACATTTATCTCGTTTTTACTATATTTCACTTTTCTAAAAATTATAATAATGATTCCTGATATACATTTCTTGAGTACTGTTCGGAGTCCCGATGCGAGGAGCTATTATATATTTTTTTCACGTGGCATAATTCTCTAATGCTGTTTATACGCATTTTCTTCTTGGGATCCCAAGCTTAGATAAAAATGAGGCAGAAACATTTTTTTCATTTCTTGACAAGCAATCCTTAAGAAGTGCATCCGATCGAGTCCAAGTAGCTCAACAGGGATCTTATAATAATAGTCTTCATTAACTCAAAAAAAAAATTTTTTTTATGCGTATGGCTTTATAAAAATAATTTTGTTTGCAGTTTATTCTCAGTCCTAGTAAACTTGTAAAAAGCGGTTTGTGTGAATAAGCCTGCATGTAATGACGCTTGAACTACCTAAATAAAATACTTCAATTGTTTCAGATCCCCGATTTCCCGTTGACGGAGCAGTCGAGCTCCATTTTTCTCCCGGTTGTGACGCGAGACACCCAGTGCCGGCCCCAACACCCGCAGTCCCATTTACCCTGTCGAATGACCCCATAGTGAGAGCCGACACACCTTTCACCTTGGATGAATTCGACGAAGAAGATTCCGATTCAGGTACAACTTTTCTTTTAACAAATGTACCACAGCAAAACCAAAAATTATTTGTCGATAATTTCGTTCTAACGTTTACCATCACGATTAATTAATCCTCGCAATTTTATGACAGTAATTACTCTGTTACATAAGATCGCATCAGCGTTAATTTTTGTTGTAGCCTACTTCTAATATTTTTTTGATCCTATTGACAGGCCACGATCAAGCAAACGTCATTTTAAAAGGAAAACGATATTTTTTTAAAGAAAATGCTGAATAAACCAGCTATAAAAATAATGTGCCGTTTTTAAATGACTAGTAGAAAAGTAGAGGCGCGACGGCAAATGTACATGAAATATGTTTGTTTTCCGTTTTCAGACAAAAATTAGAAAGCAACTGCTGACATTAACTTATACAGCAAGATCACTTATAGATCAGTATAGTTTTCCACGTGTTATATTTGCTTGCAATCTATATACAGATCAAATAAAAGATTTAACGTAAAAATTAAACATAACCTATTCAATTCAAATGTGATATGCTTACGAAATGAATTGAAATTGAATTTATTAATATTCATATATTAATATTTATTAATATTTTTCCTTAAAGAATCATTACTTTCTCTCCAAAAATAACCTCTAGTTCATCTAAATACCTTGACAGGATCATTTTCAAGTTTCTACTTCCGAGGGGTTTCGCGAAAAACTTGACAACGGGCAAGAGTTCTACTTTAATCCAAATATAACAAAAATTAGTGCTTTTCCAGAAACGAAAAAATTGTGCAAGGGTGATTACAAAACCAGCCAGCTTATTATTTTCGTCACCACGCACCTACAACGGTTTTACAAACGAACAGTAATAAGCCGCTTCTAAAAATATAGTTTCGCTATGAACCAAACGAATTCGAACGGAAAGACTGCTGGCTTTATTTCTGGGTTATATTTCATCGTACTATTTCAGTGTACGAACGGCAAGTCGATGGAGTAGATCTAGTGATTGTGAAGTAATTCACTAAGGTATCAATCAGTCTTCGTCGGTAGTGCAGTTTTATTTTTAGGTGTTGGTGGTGAGTAAATTATCTCCCGGGTCTATTTTTTTAACTAAAAACTGAAACATCACTGAATAGGTCTTCGCCTGAAAAACAAAAATATGCAGATGAGATACAAAAAAGTCAGAGTAACTATAATGTTAGAAACTGGTCTTGAATGGCTTCGCCAGTTGGACTTTTGACTTGGCTGTCTATCGAATTCGTAATTAGACAGCAGAAAAGTACACAAGTTTTTAAAATCCTAAAATACAATTGAATGAGACATTTCAATAATGTTTGGCATTTATATTTCAGACAACTGTACCAATTTTGTGTTGTTTTCAATACTTTTCACAATTTTTTGAAAGACTTATATTGCTTATGTCAGATAATTTTGGAACAATGTTTATTTCCTAAGTGGTTTTGAACATTTTGAGATATTTTTAATTTCGGAATAGCATTTTTTTTTGCGATATAAATTGGGTGGTAATTTTAATTGTTTATTGTAATACAATATCAGTTATCTACACAGGCACTAACGTAACAAAATAAAGAGTTTTGGGAACAAAGTTATTAAATTAAGCTTTGTGAAAATATTGTTACCAGCGATGCGATAGAGGTTGTTAGCCTCCTTTAAATCGAAAATGCCCATTTTATCTACCCCTGAGAAAAGGTTCTTGGAGTACTGGGTGCCGGAAAATTTTGGGACAGAGTTGGTGATTCTAGAGCCCTTGCTGAGATACTGCGGTCAATCCGGAGATTTGATATGATTTCTCGATCGCATCGAAATGAGTTTTTAATTTTGGGACAGTTTCTTTAATAGTTATAAATAAATATTAATAGAAATAAATTTCGAACATGAGTCAGCTAATAACTAGTAAACTTAGAAAAACGTAGTAACTTATAATTTTTAAAAATAGTTCAGAGCATAAATAGTTCAACAGAAGACTCCTTGAAGTTCGAACTTACTTGCAAACCCTGCTACGAAAAAGATGACCCGATTTTTTTCGCAGCATTCATCTCGAAGAGATAGTTTCGACCAGAGGGCATCGTCCATTACGGCGTTATTAATCTAACCGTATCAACTTTTAAAGTGTTATAAATGCACCGTAAAAGGCAACGAATAACTGACAGCGTTTGCTTAATGGCGTAGACGGATGTTTAACGAAAGTAAACACGAATCGGCGCCCCGGGCCACGCCATTTCTGTAAATGGAATCGAGAAAATTGACATCTGTTATTAGTTTGCATCAGATTATTAGTAGTTGTTTCTGCTTTGGTAACCGCATCTGATCCTCTTACTCGTCGACAGTCTGCCGACAAAGCTTCAGCTACGGTTCTTACCACGTATGACATGTATTACAATCACAGTAACATACTACATAAGTATACATATGTGATCCTAATGAATTGAATGTCGTGAAAATGCGCGGTACTAAGATTGAACTCCACCTCAATCCGAATTAGATTCGGAAGAAATCATCAATACTTATCTATTTTTCCCTATGCGTTTTTCTCCTACATTAAATCTTTTCATTTTTTCATTTTCAACGTGAGTATAGACGCAAGTTTATTTGCTGATCACATATGTGCCACTAACAGAAAAAAAAAAATAATTTTATTTATTTAATTTTAAACATAAAATCCGTTTCATAGCAATGCCTCGGAAACTTATACCGCTGCATACGTTCCCCAGACGAGAACTAGCTCACACAAAACTAACGCGAAAACGATACAGCAATAACAAATATAGTCTCTTACGACTAAAAATATCTTGACAATTTTATTCCAAATGGATAATACCATGGACTGATGTGTCGCAACACCGACGGTACGGGTGGTATTCCACGAATTTCTCATTAGGGCTATCGCACACAGGTATCATTCCGTATCAGTGGCAGTAGTGATCGTTGTTTAAGAAGCACATTTTCGAAAGTGTGTGTAAGCAAAGTGAGTACGCCAATTCAGTGTTTTGTTTTACTTGGTATACTTATTTCTTGGGTTTTATGACCCAATGAAAACCACCAAAACTAAACCAAACTAACCAAAACTAACCCAATGAAAACGGTGTACTCTGAGTATGCAACTAACTATACATGTAGGGAATCTATTTACTTTTGGTTGCCCCCTTTGGTCTCTTTTTTTTAGGGTTCGTATGAGTCACATTAAATTTTCTGCCGGCAGCCTAAAAAATGAAGTAAGATAAAAATTATTTGGAAACAAATGTGTGAGATGAAAGTTGCCTAAGGATATTAATTAATTGGACAAATAAAAAAAAATAACGATTTAAGCAACCTTTTAACTTTACAAGGTATCAGGAATTTAAGGATTGCTTGATTTCTAAAACCTAAAATAATATTAGATATATTAACCAAGCAAAAGTTGTTTCACCGGTCATGAGACATACTTTACTTTTTCAATTCAATCGTATAACTTTGGCGTATTTTTTATATTGCTACGATGTCAAACATATTACTACTATATACTTACTATTATACGCTAAGTTAATTGAAATATACAATACTTTAATAGGTATCCCTATATAGCAGTTTCATTAGTTGTATAACCCTATTAATTTCGCGGTCTAGCATTAAATATCTAATTGGCCCTACGTGGATATCGCGTATCCTCAAGTTTTTACGCACGATTGTCTGGCGAGCCTGTCAAGGTCTACCGGTATTAATATGAACCAAGTATCGACAACGTCAGCTGTGGTGGGCGAACGAGTCCGTTTATTATTATTATTATTATTATTATTACCTTTTGCACGTGCTCTTCCGAAACGCGATAGATTGCGGCGAGTTATGTTTGTTTTACCGGAAACGGTCTATATAGAGTGTTAAAATTCGTTGCAAAAGTATCAGAGGAGTTGTCTGATCAAAATATATTTTTCCCATAAACATATAAGAAGCACCTATTCCCAACTAAAGCCATTGTAACTTCTCTGACGTCCGTTTAATTGCCCCATCTTGTTTTTGCTTGCTAGCACATTGCTTGTCAGTTAAATATAGCTGTGAAATGATTACGTTTTAAAATGTATGTTTATAGGAAAAAATGGCTTAAATTCAATTCAAATTAAACACTTAAATATCTCATATTTAAACGGGTTGCCCGTTTATTGAATAATTATATTGTCATGTATACAAGATGTTTGTATTTTTGTAAGAACTTATTGTCAACAGAATACGCTCTATATTAAAACATTTTTTATTTTGATCTGATTGATAGGTCAATATCCCTATCTTACAGTTTCTGACATATTTTGAATGTTACGCCATAAGTGACGTTTGCAGGTCTACTGCCCGATTTCTGCGCCTGAAAGCCTTTTAATTGTTATACTTTTTACAAAACTTCTGGATTTCTCCTTCGTCGGTTTTTGTTGTTATTGAAAAGTTTAATAAAAAATTCGTTAATTTTTATTTCAAATAGAAACTCATTTTTATAATTTTATCGTATTCGTTCGTTATTGTTATTTATAACGAATCAAATGTGTGCAGATCGCGCAGTTAAAAAAGAAGAAAAAGCGCAGTTTAGTCTGTGAAATTTAGGAACATGTGCAGATCATTTCCTGTTCTACGAAAATATCATAGCCGCCCGGGACGCATCAATTTTTAACGTCCTTACGGTCACTACATCATCCAATATGGTACGATATTAATATTCATATAATCATAGTAACTGTTCAAATATTTCAACAACTCCATAGGCAAAAAAGTCTTGCATCGCGCCACATTTTTAATGGCAATAAACGCGATATCCATTCTATGCAAATTAGTTGTGACCTATATCTCGGCTTATATGACGTGTAGTATTTTGGGAAATTATTTTAATATTCCGTAACCACTCAAGCTTTTAATTTTGAATTTGTTTAGGGGAATATTTAATATTAATTAATTAATTAGTTAAATGTTAAAAAGTTCATAGATGAAACAAAAATTGGTCATCGATATGCTCATAAAAATAGAAGACAAAATAAAAAGAAACTATAAGGTTAGGTCTTCGAATTAAATGTCAAAATTTAGCTACGTTGTAATTTGCGTATTTTCATTTACACACCCAAATTTTTTCACCATGACTTTTTGTGATTTCATAATTTGTAAAACCGAAAGCATTCTTAAAATAGTTAGAAAGAAAAAATACTTACATTTACTAGCATTTCAGTTCTATAGAAAACACCGGAAGTTTACTTTTTGACATTTTGACGTTATCTCTAGCAAATTGCAATAAACGCGATGTTTTATTTCAATTGCAACACGTCCAGTCTATTACAAACAATTAGCAAGCAAATAAAATGTCAAGCGTTCGATAAAAAGGCACCGCGTATACTTAAAAGCGATAAATTACTCTAATCCTATCTTCGGGGCTGAATAATCATTTAAAATTCAGTTCTAATAGCGCTAAACTATTTGACATTTTAAATAGCCTGTAGACTAACAGCGGAAATTATACAATAGTAACGTGCATTGTAATCTTATATGAATTATCTTGTAGTCCGTAAATATATACGGATAGTTAACGATCACAGGAGAATTATTTAAATTCTTAAAACTACTTAACGTTTTGATTTGATTTTTCCTGCAAAAATATCGCCTTTAAGCGTGTTGTTCTCGTCTGCCACAACTGAATTGTATTTCTAAGTACTTTTCTTAATACCCATTATTTGTACAAAGTAATTGAACTGATGAAGTTCACATTTATCAAGAAAGTCATTCGAATGCTTTGAATTCGTGTGAGCCATAAAAAACATTTAAAGCGTTGAAATAAAAATTTGTTGCAGACGAAGCAAATCACACATTTGGGCCTTTAGACGGTAGCATCTACGCGACCATCACCAAGAAGCCCGAGCTCTCTCCTGGGGCTGTTTCTAGTCCATTGGCGGTGTCGATGGACAGTGGCATCTCCTCAGCAGGTACATTTAATTTAATTTAATATATGAGAAGAACGTTGTAGGCAGTTTTTGACTTCAAAAAAAGATATAGCGTGAAGTGTTACCAGGGCAATATGATTCAGGTTTTTTAATGATTACAAGTACAATGAAAAATCACAAATATCACTTCAAATTTCCAAGCTCTAATTTTCCCTGAATAATAATAAAATATTTCAAAAATGGAAGTATATAGGATATAATATACAGTTTCAGTTTAGCTCTGAAGAAGCCAACAGAATGATTGCTGAAAAGTCAGCAAGTTGCATTTATAATCAATGTAAAAGTTTCTTTGGAAAATATAAAAAGTCGGATTTCGAATTTATTAATGGAAATTTGTAGATTATAAGAAATAAAGTTAAAAATTGTCAGAAAAAAATATTTAAAAATTGCCTTTTTTTTAATATGTTAGAAATTATTCTAAATTTTGTTTTAAGGCTTCAAAGATGAAATTTGAAAAAAAAAATACACTTATTTTATAAAAAAGAGGTCAAAAGTCTATATATATAAAAATTGCTTTTTTATTTCAAGTGGTAGTTTATGCGGCTAATCTACCGAAGACAAATTACATAAATAATTAAAGTATTATATTTAATGTGCAATATTAACATTTTTAGGTCGAATTGAGGTACAGAACACACTTTCTTAACTTTGCTCTAAAAAAAAATTAATTATAAAATTAATAAATCGGTTTTTTTTTTTGAAGGCTTTGATTGCTTTACGAAGTTCCAGTACATATTCGTATCGTGTTTTGTGTTATTTTATTTTCCATAAAACGACAATAAAAAAGTCCAAAATTGGGAAAACATGCCAGCCACAAAAACTTATTAAGTAATCATAATCGGTTAAAGAGTGTACCCAGTGATTGTTTTTTTTTTTTTAATTTTATATAAACTAACTAAACTAACCAAAACTAACCGAAACACCTTTTTCAATAAAGATAATATTTAGAACGATATATTTTTGACCTGACCTCGTATAATTATTCTGCGGGACTGAATTTTACGATAAAAATTATATAAAAGGTAATCACTGCCTATTCAAGAAATTATTTCCATATCTTAAAAACGAAAACCTCTGGGGAAGTTCAGATCATGAAAAATAATGTGTTTCACAAAAAAGTGGCAGACTATTGCGAAAACCGCATCTTTCAAAATAGTGTAAAAGTGCACGAAATCGTCCATATTTTTGGATCTCGTGTGAACCCAAATACATTTCACACCTGTACTCCGTACACCGTGTATAATAAGAGCTTCTTACAATTGGCCAGGGACATTTCCGAACACCTTGTTTGTATATTCCCTTTTAAACCGACCGTATTATACATACGATCGCTTTCCCATAGCATGGCCATATTTGCAGGGCACCAGCATCAGAACGCCAATACGAACGCCTCCGGTAGTCCCCCGCCGTCGACCGCCCAATCGTCCCCCCTCACGCCCGAAGACCAGCACCGCGAACTCGACGAACTGCTATCCGATATGATGCTGACGGTCCAGAGCATTCCCGATTTGAAACCGACAGAATCGCGTCACGGTTACGATAGAGATAATGCGCGTTACGAGCATCGGGACAACTACAAGGAACGGTACGAAGACCCAGATAGTATACCATACCACGCGAGGGAAGATAGTACGCCATTCAGTTACGGAATAAACGCCGACATGATCGGGGAGTCCAGGAAGTTGTCAAGTCCGAGCCTCGTACGGAAGGCTAGCGTCAATAAAAGTTCCGGTGACGTACTTGCTAAGGTGAGCTTTTATTTTTTGTTTGCGCTTCCTACAAGAGTGTGTTGACGGCATTAATATCCATTCTAAACGTAATTAGAATAAAAAGTTTACCATTTGCATTGGACAACATAGAAATCATTGGGGCTGATATCAGATTATCTTTTTGCATCGTGAATTATTTCACTTCTTTATTATTTGGTTTTAATGTTATTTTTATATAGATTTTTAAATTAACAAACACGTGCATTTTTTTTTCTTCAAAGAAACTTCCACAGGCAATTGTAAAACTTTTTATAAAACTTCTGGATCCCTCCTGCGTCGGTTTTTGCTGAGTCGAACTTGCTAACGTTTCGCCAATCATCACAGTTTAAGTCAAGCTAACAGGACGATGGGCGAAACATTAGCAAATTCGAAGTTTTGTAAAAAGTAAATGTGCATTCTTTAATAGACATTTTAATAAACTTTTTTTGTATATTTATTTTTGCATAACAAAATTAAGACTAGAACAAATGGTACATGAATTATAATAATTCCAAAAAATGGTAGTAACTAATAACTGATAAAAATATAATAATTATAATAATTCCAAAAAATGGTAGTAACTAATAACTGATAAGAATTTAATTGTGTTATGTGAAACACTAAATAGACTTTCTGAAAAATTAATAGAATTAATTTAGTATTAAATTTAGTTTTGGGGTAGTATTATTATTTTAACGATGGACAGGGTGGCCCATTTAAGAGGGATCTATACATTATCTCGAAACATACGGGGGTTACAAAAAAAAATTAAATACAAAAATTGTTTCTATTAAAATGACTTTTATTTCCCTAATGGTCACTTTTTAATACACAGGGCGGTAAAACCTACATTTTATTGCATTTTTGAATAGTCTGTTCAAAGATAAATACCGATATATATGAGTATGGGTCTGTAATGCACCGTTTCGAACTTATTAGCGATCATCTTCAAAATTCCGGTTATGTTTAAACCAGCATTGTTGGGTTGCATATTGACTTTTTAAACTTTTTTCCATCTACTATTTTTACGAAAATAATGCTTTTGTTTAGGTAGTGATCAAATTGTGTTACCACTTTTCGCAAAATTATACTTTTCTCAATTTTCTTAAAAGAGACACTCTGTATATTATTGGATTTTCGAATAGCCACTGTAATAGCAATTTCAATTATATAACATAGTACGGGTCTCTGACTTACCGTTTTGGCTTAATTGGCAATTATTTTCCAATAATACATAAATTCTTTTACATTCATAATTTAAGAATCTTGTAAATAATATCCTTAAATGAAAAAAAAAATATTCAAATTCTTAATAATATAGACCACATGTCTTTAAAAATATATAGAAACCTACCTGTTTACTGTTTTACTGATTTTTTGACAAGTGTACTATAATGTTTTAAGCGTATTTTTTCGGACTTCCATTTTCTATTTATTTTATTAAGTTCCATTTTTGTGAGTCTATTTTGTATAAAGTATATGAAGAAGAAAAAAGTTTACCTATTAGAATGTTACATCACCAATAACAAAAGTCCGGCTCGTGCTCTCAGACAATATAGAGCCAAATTTCCCCATGCATGTACATATAAACTTGATCCTTTGTAGCACTTTGTAGCACTAGCACTTTCCTACTTTTGTAACTGCAATAATTCAAATCGTTAGTAACAATGATGCTATATACAAAAATTAATGAAATAGTCGGTCATTCAGTCTCTAATTAAATTCATACGATCTTTTCCGTGAAATAGTTTTCATTTAAAATAAATGCAAATTCCGTTTTCTACTGAACAGTGAACGTAGTCTGCATTTGACAGATTTAGGGTATGAAAATTGTCATAAATTAAGTTTTAGTTATTAAGCTTTGGATAGACAGTTATGCAAATGTTCTATTCTAGATCGATATGACCCAATTTATGCCTTTGTCTTATTGTGTTGTCTAGACATTTAGTCCGCTAAGGACACTAATTATAGTTGCGTTTAATGTTTTATTTAAAGCGGTTTTACGTAGAAAAATAACTTGATCCGGCTTTCATTGTTCCCGCTAACTACACCACATGCCAAGGTTTACATCTGATTCACCGATTCAAACCATGTCACTTTTCTTCGTACGGACATTATAAGAAAATGTTTATTCATTCCTACTCGGATTTGGTATTCGACGACAGATCATGTATTTACCGTATCGGCAGTTTTCCATTTTCAGTAGCTACTGTTGAGAAAGAAGACATCTATTTACTACGAATTTTATAATTATCCCAGCAGGATATCTTTTTCAGAACAGTTTATGGTTTCCCACCGCTAAACTATTTACCTATATGTAGAAAAATAATGCGAGTGTGGTGTCTATGTTCTGGGAGTTGATGTTTATATCAAAAGATTTATTTGAGGCCATTTTATTACCATTGTATCAACTATCAAGCCTACTAGTTCGGAAGTAATTTTTTAGTACTACTTGGTGCTAGGATTAGATACAAGTACCATATTTTTTATTATTTATTAGGAAAGAAAAAGGTGACTACTTTAAATACATTCTGTAGGAAGAGACGAACGAGAACTAAAATGTTTTTTTTTACTATAAAAACAAGTGACACAATTATGAAATCTTAATAAGAATGTTATTATTTTTGTAATGACTCACCACAGAAAAATGTATTTTTTGAAATCTCGAAATGCTCTATTTCTAGCATGGAATAGGAGAAGAGAAACAAGAATATACGAGACAGACGTATAACATGAATATCAAAGTCAAAATTATTCAGTGATCCATGCGTATATCAGATGGATCTTGATTAACTAATCTGACAAGTATGTTCAACAGACTTGTAATTGGTTTAAGAAGATGCACAACTACAATTGCTTCGTCCAATTCTATTGTTATACTATCGGGCGGTACCTTTTGCGCGTGGCATCAAATGCAATTTAGAACTAAACAATGTAGAAAAACAAACAATTATTGCTACGCCCATCTTTATTTCGTTGCGTATCGCCATATAACTACCGGTGTAAGCCAGCAACAAATAAATAAATGGTCTGCCCACACCGTATCAAAGAAAATGTCCAAGGTCGAAAATTGCATAGTTGACTTTATTTCGACCATTCGCCATATGGCCAACTCGGACAGCTAAAAATATAGATTTTTTTTTGTTAAGACTGGTTTTGTCAATGGTAAATTTTATGTATCGGAAACACGGGACCAGTTGAGTACTTATCGAGACTTCCCTTATTTGGCTGAACAATATTAATTTTTCGATAAAACTTTATTGTCATATACTGAATTTCATTCAATTTTGCACACGCAGGAGTTGGCGAAGCGATGCAAAATTATTATGGTGTTACTAAAAAAATATTTTAAGTTTAACAGATTGAGAAAATAATAGTATTAACGTACCAATTCAGCCTACGAATTTTAAATTTGAACTTTAATTGGAACGTCGGCATAAAACATGAAGAGAATACAAAATATAGGAAATAAAACAAAAAAACATAATGCTAATACTTAGTTATTTAACTTTATTTATTTTTCTTTAAAAATTAAAGTTCACATGAATCTTCCTTGCATTCCTCCTATGTCGGTTGGTGATAAATGAACCTTGCTGTTTCGCCAATCATCATGTTGACTTCTTCAGGACTTAACTGAAACTACCTCGCATTTTACTCTGTACCTGCTTATGTACTGCTGCTTGAAGGAGACGGATCTAAAGGCGGATGACTGATGCCCATATTGGTGCAAGGTAAAACCTGATTCGCAGTTAAGATTACAAAAACCTAGTAGGCCTACTAACCTTAAAGGATCATAAAACCTGTCATCCAAGAATCCATAGAAATCTCCTCTTCTTTCACCAACAAGAATTGTCGCGGAACATTGGCTATCCTTTAGCTTCGTTTCCCTCAAAGAATATACAGTGTGTCCAAGATAAGGATGCACAGCATGGGGATCTCGGAAACTATAAGAGATACAGTGTCGGTTAAATTAGACAAAAGTTGCGCATTTTGATACCGAACAAGATCCCGTTTTACAAATTTGAAAATTCCAAGCCGTTCCGGAAATATCCGAGAAAAACCGAAATATTGCGATTTCGTTTTTATTATTTTTTAAAGCTATTTGAAAAGATATGAAAAAATGGAAAACACTTTTCCATTGGCACTTTTTAATCTCTCCAAATTGACGTTAACAAATTTTAATTACAGCGTTTCGATTCCATGGAACCACCATCAACTTTGATTTTTCTTATGGGACGGAAAAAAAGTACACACAGTATTAGGTTGTGCTTTTCATTGCGAATTCAACGATGTACGATACAATACGGTTACTTATGTTTTTATCCAGAAAAATGGATTTTTAATACATTTCAGCATTTAAATGGAGTAGGCCATGACAAAATGACATCCAGTCAATTTCAATGACACATTAATGTTATTTGTCTTTGTTATCAGTCGATCATAAGTTTATTCCTTTAGTTATTGTTTTTGTATTTTTATTGTTGTTGTCTTTTTCTAATTTATTTTGTTCTACAATGGAGGGAGGTAATTTTACAAACGAAGAAAAATGTGATATGCTGTCTTGCTACATCTGATGCCAAAGAAATTGTGTGGAAGCCGAGCGTATGTATTCTAACAAATACCCAGAGCGGAGACAACCTGACAAGAGTATTTTTCGGCGTTTGTTATTTAATCTGAAAGAATATGGATCATTTAAGAAGCCTGCATTATCCCGACAAAAACCTTCCAATGAAGAAAACCAATACATTGTTCTACAATCTGTTATCGAAAATCCACAAACTTCTACCAGAGAAATTGAAGACCAGAATGGGGTAGCTAAATCTACAGCTCAGTTTATTTTAAGGAAAAATGAATTTAAGCCTTACAAATTCAGAATATGTCAAGGATTAAAACCGGGTGACGACGAACGACGTAGACATTTTTGTGAGTGGTATACCAGGATGTGTGGTGAGAGTTTTAATTTTCCATATAAAGTGATTTGGTCTGATGAAAGTATGGTGACCAATAACGGTATTTATAACAGGCGCAATACACACTATTGGTCGCAACAAAATCCACGTGTTAATAGACTATCCAGACATCAAGTTCGCTTTGGGTTTAATATTTGGTGTGGGATTTTTGGTAGCAAGATTATAGGCCCTATTTTCTATAATAATTCCTTAACTTCCGAGCGGTACCTTGACATCTTGAGGCACGATTTAGAAGATGCCTTAGATGATTTACCGCTAGGCGCTGTGCAAGGCTGCTGGTTCCAACAAGATGGTGCCCCAGCCCATAACTCCAGAGAAGTTCGCCAATATTTAACTGAACGGTTTGATGGAAAATACATTGGGACTTACAGTGAAACACCTTGGCCTCCAAGGTCCCCGGACTTAACTCCCTTGGACTTTTTCTTATGGGGCTACATAAAAAATGAGGTATTCAAAGAATGTTTTGACAACGAGGAACAATTACGTCAATCAGTACGAGCAGCGTTTAATAAAATTACTCCTGAAATGTTAAGTCGGGCGTACTTATGCCTAGAAAATGGAGGTCATTTATTCGAACATTTGTTATAGAATTTGTTTTTCATTAACTTGTTGGATTTAGTTGTTATGTTAAATGAACAGTTAGAGTTAGTAAATAAATAAACACATTAACTCGAACTTGTCAACCATTTTCTTTTGCCTTTCACCGTTCGGATCTCATGGCCTACTACAATAAAATACTAGAAATGTATTAAAAAGCCATTTTTCTGGATAAAAACATAAGTAACCGTATTGTATCGTACATCGTTGAATTCGCAATGAAAAGCACAACCTAATACTGTGTGTACTTTTTTTCCGTCCCATAAGAAAAATCAAAGTTGATGGTGGTTCCATGGAATCGAAACGCTGTAATGAAAATTTATTAACGTCAATTTGGAGAGATTAAAAAGTGCCAATGGAAAAGTGTTTTCCGTTTTTTCATATCTTTTCAAATAGCTTTAAAAAATAATAAAAACGAAATCGCAATATTTCGGTTTTTCTCGGATATTTCCGGAACGGCTTGGAATTTTCAAATTTGTAAAACGGGATCTTGTTCGGTATCAAAATGCGCAACTTTTGTCTAATTTAACCGACACTGTATCTCTTATAGTTTCCGAGATCCCCATGCTGCGCATCCTTATCTTGGACACACTGTATAAGCGGGTAGAGAGTAGAGTGCAAACCAATCAAATTCGAATGTGTATATATATATATATATATATATATATATATATATATATATATATATATATATATATATATATATATATATATATATATATATATATATATATATATATATATATATATATATATATATATATATATATATATATATATATATATATATATCTAATCTAATCTAATCTAAATTAACCTTGAGTATGAGTTCTGAAAATAAACGTTCTTTTTCTTCTTAATATGAAGGACTTTCAATTTTAAGTGGTTTATGAGGAAAACCAGCTTTGTTTAAGGTTAGGAAAAAGGTGAATAAAGGAGTTCTGTGCTTTTTAAAATTTACGGAAAACATCCAAGTCCAGAATGTCTTTACTTTTATTGATGTTTCGGAGATTGATATGATACACTAATAACATATACAGTACACGAAGATTCGGTCTATAAATTGATAAAATCTTTCGTTATATGAATTCAATATTAAGGATTGATTCCGTTTTTCCCTAGTCGGATACCCGAAATAAAGACATTCGTTAAAAATACTAATAAACACTAATGGCTAAAAGGGCAAGCTGAATTTCATTCGCTTCTTCAAGAAGTTGATACCAGTAAGAAACAACGAATGTAATCTCCAAATATTTTGATCATTCATGCGATTGACGAGTGAGAGAAATACCTCGTTTTTATTGTGGAAACTATTGCTAATACAGATAATAAAAATTTATCTATTAAACAAAGCCGGATATTTGGGAAAATCGAAACAAAATTTTAGAACATATTCTCCAAACTGGTATAAGAAACTTATGTACATTGAAATGAAATGAAGTTATGAAAATTTAACTTCCGTATTATGTCAAAACCTATAATGTTACAGCACCTTCGTTCAAAAGAAAAACAAATGCACTTTCCTAAGATTTGTACCATCTTTTCCAAACATCCTGTATAATGACAATTATGCAAAAACCAAGAAGTCTGCGCGCCAATTCATGAGCCTCTCCAAATCCTTTCCTTCCGACGAAAGAATTTGTCAACACGTAGACTTAGAAACGAAAACAACATGCGTCAAACTACCCACTTTACGGCTATCCACTTTGTTGTTCATTTTTAATTATTGCTTATAATTGAAATTCTATGTGGCGCCTATTTGGTAATTTTCATGATTTAAAATGTTAATAATAACAAACTCATTGATTTAATTTTGTTTTTAGGTTCAGACACAAGTGTATGCATCACCTAAACCAGTGCCAAATTTCGAAAATGATCCGGACCCAATCAAGAATGCGCATTACTCCTCATTAGACCGACGAACATATTCGCCAGCTCTCCTGCGCAAAAGCTCGCCTCGCGATACCGACTCCATCGACGATATCTTCACCCAAAGTGCTCTAAACGCTCGGCCCATCAAACGTGAGGAACGCTATGAGTACTACAAAGATGAGCGAAAAAGATACAACGATCCGCTAAAAAGGAGCCATACTGATGATGCACTGAGCAACCCGGACCGACTTATCTACAAGTCGAACTTCATCGAGAGTCCGTATTCAGATTCGGAGAGTCGTCAGTTCAGGAACCACCTAGCTTCAACGGAGGCGGGGGAAAGGTATGTTTTGGTTCCGAGATCATTATTGTTATTCCGCATTTTTAATGTTGTTCAATAAAATATTACATAATTTTCGGCATATTAGAATTTTTCAGAACATCAATGATGGAAGCGAATAGAGATTATTAAAAACTTGGAACCCAATGAAAATTATTTTGGTTAATGAGAGCTAAGATTTTATTTCTACAACCTTTTACTACCAGCTAGTACTAGCGATAGAATTAATACAAAGCAAGTTTTACATGTATTTATAACAATTCCTTCCCATGGGAACATCGCAGATAATAGAAACGCCGAAGTTGGCATGTCCTGTGATGACTTCAGCAACTTGCAAAATATAATAAAATTAACACAAACCACGTAATTTATTCTGGAAAAGCGTTGTAAAAATTATGTTTCCCAACACTCAGAAAATTATTGTTCTCTATTAAACCCGGAAAACTGTAATAGCATATTATGCAACAAGTGCGGTAAATGGCTTAAAAAGTTTACCGAACGTATTGCATACTATACTTTTTCTACGACCGTTAGTTTTTACGTACATTTTCGCAAAACAACACGAATACATTCACTGACATGACCGTCAGAATTGACAAACGTCAAAACTGAAAGCTTGGGAAATATATCCGAAAACATCCTATTGCTCCCGAACCCGTTCGATAAAATCCCGGAAATGTCCAAAGGGGCTCGGATTCATGGGAAACGAAACTGACGTGGTAAAGTGACGCTTCCTGCGCTCTAGATCGGTGTATAATTAAGTATTTTACAGACGGGAGTAGAAAAAAGTATTTACAATAATAATAATAATGAATAAAAAATGTCAAGCTTTCAAATTTTGTAGCTAAAATTACTTAAAACCAACAACTAAAACTTTAGGATAAATTTATCCCTAGTTTCAATTTATTCAATGGAGGGTAAAAAGTTTAACCAAACCACATTTCATTTAGTATGCTGTCTAATAAAAAAATTTTATCCTTATTTTAACTTGTGGGGTACCTCGAACTCCTAATCCGCGAAAACATTTTTTAAAATGGTAGTGAAAAGTACAAAACGCTATTTTTAGTGTAATTGTTTTAAAAGAACAATATTTGTGTTTCGACTGTTGTTGGACTTGGTGGAGCATTTTTGATACTTGCTTGATTCGTAAATATGCGTTATCATAATCGCCCAACACGAAATTTATTAATTTAATTTTCATTAATTTAATTATCTCTAATAAAAAATCTTAATCGGCAACAAGCATAAATTATATGTGCAAATTTTTGGAAACCTATCTGTTTTAGAATAATCTAATAATCGATTAATTATAGAGTTTTTTTCCAATATTTTAACTGTAAATAAGAAAGTTTTTAATAGACATAATTTTTGCTCCACAATCTCAAAACAGGTTTCAGTTATGAACTTATTTAAAAAAAAAAAGATGCTTCACATAAATTTACACAAAACTTACTGCAAAACCAATGACTGGGAATTGCTGTTGGTTCTTTGTTAAAATACGTGAGCATAAAATCCGGATTGAAAATATTTAAATGTTTATGTTTGACTCTTGTTTGCTCTTATATTAAGTAAATTTAGGTATACATTGGTTGCTAAAAATACACTATATCTAAATTCGAACGCAAATATTTACGTTTTCGGATATGTGTATACGAGGTAAGCGCCAAAGTTTCTCAACATTACTACTGTGAAAGGCCCCCATTCTGTATTTATATTACATACAATTCCACACCATTCAAAAATTAATAATACTTAGTACACTGTTCAATTTACCTCTTCATAATTTATTTATGGTGTTGGGTTCTTTACAATACACAAGGTAAAATTTTTGTTTCCATCCAAGAAAAAAAATCTTTTCGATTTCTTTTACACATGCTTTTCATTTAGTAATTATTTTACACACAGTCATTTTCCTAACTTTTATTCACTCTTTGTCGGTTTCACTGATAGTAAATAAGTTTTAACCGATTCGAAAAGACAACACACCTATCGCCATTTGTAAGGCTGATTAATTTTTGCGGTGTTCCCATATATTAAACAAATACTGACAATTTTCGCAGAAATACTTCTGTGGCGCAATTTAATACCTTCACCTGGATATATCATAAATCTATTTTACCGCTTTTTTCTGAATTTGCAACAAGGGAACACATTTTCAAGCCTTAACTTTAAAAAATTGTTTATTTGGATTACGATATATTTACTTCTAGTTCCATGCCAATACAGCCATACAAAAACGTCGTATATTACATGAAATATTTGTTAACAAATATTTTTTTCTACTCCCTTCTGTAAAAATACCCAAGAACCCGCCGATCTAGCGTACGGGAAGCGTCACTTTACCACGTCGGTTTCGTTTCCCATGAATCCGAGCCACTTCGGACATTTACGGGATTCTACCGCACGGATTTATAAGCAATCGGATGTTTTCGGAGATATTTCCCACGCTTTGAATTTTGACGTTTGTCAATTCTGACGGTCATGTATTCGTGTTGTTTTGCGAAAATGTACCCAAAAACTAACGGTCGTAGAAAAAGTATAGTATGCAACAAGTTTCGGTAATAGTATATTATGCAAGTGCGGTAAACGGCATTTGACTCCCGAGTTTATTTGACACGAGCCGAGCGAGTGTTTAATAAGCCAATAAGTTAAAAAGTTGACTGAACTTGTTGAATACTATACTTTTTCTACTATCGTTAGTTTTTGGTTCATTTTCGCAAAACACGAATACATTCACTGACATGACTGTCAGAATTCACGTCAAAATTCGAAGCGTGGGAAATATCTCCGAAAACATCCGATTGCTTCCAAACCCGTGCGGTAAAATCCCGGAAATGTCCGAAGTGGCTCGGATTCGTGGGAAACGAAACTGACGTGGTAAAGCGACGCTTCCCGCACGCTAGATCGTTGCGTAATTAGGTAGAAAACGGGAGTAGAAAAACTTTTTAACTCACTCGTTTATTAAAAACTCGCTCGGCTGTGCTCCGCTCGTGTCAAATATACTCGTTAGTCAAATGCCGTTTACCGCACTTATTGCATAATTTACTATTTGGTTACCAATTCCTGCGGACATTTGCGGAAAGAACGACTTTTTGAGTTTTAAATACGCCATTTTTAGTTATAACAAAGTTTTATTTTAAAATGATTTTTTTTTTATATCTTTTCGCTGTTGCTAATTTTACATGTACATTCTCAGTATGTTATGTAAATTAATTCGATTAAATTAAACCTCAGAACCAGTTTATGTACTGGTTTCCTCTTGAACAATTAAAACATTTTATCTAGGTGACGTAAAATGAAAACTTCTGTGTTTATGACCGCTCGCTTCCAAGAATACGTTACACGCTCCTGTTGCGATAACGGTTAAAAGACGGGATATTTGTCGGAACTAACTGTCCGAAATAACTTGATATGCGAGCGAACTAAATATGGTAAACATTCGGAATATGCCCTTTATTTGTTATGTACGTATTTGCTCGCTTGAATGCAGAAACTTAGGCAGGGTCTTATCTGCCATAGTTTACTTCAGGGTATATGGTATTAGAAAGTTCTGTTCCACTTTCTTGGTACGGTCACGAGCTTTATTGCGGGAAAGCACACCAACCACGCAGCGCAACACTGAAGACTGATATATAAAGGAAATAATTAGTTTAGGACCGTTTTTAGAAAAAATGTCTGGAAGATATTGTATATAGTCGGTCTCCAAATAATTGCCTTTTTAAGTTGCTTATTGTGAGTTACTACTTATCTGTCATAAATTTTGCAGCAAGTGACTCTCCAAGTATCAGATCCGTATTCATGTTTTTATTTGTAAGAAATAAATGTTTACATATTTTTAAATATTATCTAGTAAGTTATTTAATGACAAATATAAAATGATATTAAAAATTTAGGCAGTGTTATCAAGAATTATAATGGCACCTAACGTATTGTTCCGGGCATTCTCGGAAAGTAATTGTAAAGACTTGGAATGAAAAATTATATGTAACTTATATAACTAAAGCGGCCCAAAAAAAATGCTGAAATTGTTTTTAAGTTTCTAGAATTACCGCCAGGGGGTGCAATTGCATTCTTGAATTTCAGATCCTATTTTTTGAGAAATAATGTTATACTCGTATTACAGATAGCTGAAATTTTCGTTCAATAGTTCTGAAGTTTTTCTACGGCCATTAGTTTTTGTTAATTTGTGAGTGAACTGTGACACCTGACAAATGTCAAAATAGCACGGTCAAAATTTACCGAAATCATTCCATCGCTTCCAAAGCTGTGACGAAAGTATTAGAGTAACAAGCACAAAAAATATATTATACTGGTATTATATAATAGTTTAATAACATATTATGCTTAGAATTGTATTTGTAAATTACATGTTACACTAGTCCACTTCGTTAAAGAAGACTATCTTCATTATGTCAGAAACTTTCATCATCATCAAAAAGATTGTCTGATAATATATGGTATTTTATCGAAATCCGTTCAAGATATTTCGACTTTCCAGTTGGGTTATAATTGTTCCAGCACTACGCGAAATGGAAACCTCACATGGTTGCAGCGGCAGCAACAAAAGCTGAAAGATCGAAGGGAAATGCAGCTGCGCGAAGAACGCCACCCACACGAAATACGGTTGCTCTCCGAACTGAAAACCGTTCAGTCGCGTCATATGAGGCCTACGGCTAGCCACAGATTGGATGGCTACACTAGCGACACCACAGCTTTTCCCGACGATGACGATGACTACACGATCCCCTTGCATATCAACACCATGCAGAAAAATTACGAGGTGCTGCCAAATTCTACCACTAGCACATTGAAATCGTCGTACGCTTCACAACAGGAGAGGCCTTTTATGATGGTCAAGTCAGCGCATGCGAAATATTCGCAGGTAACTTCAATTGGGGTTCATCATGAACTCTTATGATATAGATTCTATCTACTAAATCATTTTTCTTAAATCTTCCTTTGGTAGCGATTAGAGTTCACAATCACCAGTTTATTTTTTTACAGATGTTTTAAATACAAATTTGAAAACTTCGGTACACTCTGCAATAGCTTGCAGTTTTCACGTCTGTATCGAACTATTTCTTATTAATTTTGTTTAAAAGTGATATTGCAGGACCGCTTTGAAAATATTGATGAGAGTTCCACCCAACAGCGGTTTATGATTTTTGATAAATATTAAAATAACGTTCAAAATCACACTAAAATGATTGTTGGTACAAGAAAAACTCAATTCTTCGACAGGCGTACGTTAGTCTAAATCATTTTTAAGAGTTAAATATTTCTAATATTACTTAGTATTTTACATTAGTAGCAACATTGATTTCTATTTTTCGTATATGTTTAGTTTTAAAAACTCTGAATTTATATTACGATCAGGCAGAAATTTTTTAATTTCTACTGATTCTGGTGATATTTTTATTTGACGATGCACTTGCACTTACACGACAGTGTCTTTTTCCACTTTACCTCATAAAATTTCGCCTCCGGGTTTTTTTGTTTTTGTTTTATTTAATTAATTTAACATTTTAGTTTAACTTTTACGAAAAGTACCAACGTATTACTTCGTATATTTATGATTCATTCATGAAGACAACAGCTATTACGAATTTAATTTATATTCGTAGGTAAACCAGCCCAGAGCGAACAAATCAACGCTTATATGTTCTAAGAGTCATTTTCATTGTAAAATAATTAAATTGACAACATTACACCACCCGTAATCACCTACAAGCACCGTAATATTGCAGAACACCGACCCAGTAACTGCTCTAACCTCTAACCCCCATGGACAAATAATAAGGGTACCATCGGACGTTGGAACTGATAGAGACCAGGTAGATAACCGATTACTTTCCGTAGTAGAACACCGTCACTATTCGACAACCGGACAAGATCCCGGAATGTCGCGTAGCGCCCAGCAAAGCAGCAGGGTGGGTATTAAACGCGACATGCTGGATGAGAACTCTCGGCTAGCCGCTCTTGACGATCTAATCGCTAACCTGTCTAGTGGCTCTGAGCACTCTAGTAACAGTCCTAATAACACAGCATGGCAGCAGGTATTAACACGCTCTATTTTTGATTTTTGTTTCTATATTTTATTTACATTACATAGCGCGGATAGCGTCGAAGATTTACGTAGGTACAAGGTTATTGGTCGAGGGTGCCGCAAAATAACTGCTTCTTAAAAAATGGTCATATTCCAGTCTCCAGTTTGTCTAAAGTTAAAATAAATTTTCAACAAGCCCGTTTTTTAATGGGAACTTCTTTACTTGTTTATGTACTTGTTATTTTCAAGTTGAGATAAATAACAAATTTGAAAATGAGAAGATATCTCAAAAAATTACTGAATTAGCTTAATAACAATGTAGTTTTGTAAGGGTTTAAAAATTTTATGATAGGTGTGGTTTGGAACGTATATGTTTAATAATAAACCTATTTAGCAGAAAGTGCGCCTTTAAATTTAATGCAAAAAATAATATTATTTTAGTGAAGAGTTACGAAACTTACAAAATATAAGTTATATTCCGTGTAATTAGAACATTCAAAGTAGTTGTATTACATAACTTCGACGTCCCCGGTTCTCCGTCGAAGATTTTATTTTTCAATATATCTGCCGTCACTAGCATTCCGACTTCTTGTTGTGCTAATCAAAGAATTCGAATAAAGTTTCGCCATTCTGCGTTTTTTTTTATTGTATTTTTGTTTGTTAAAAAGCGCGCCCTTAGCGTATAGCCCTGTTTACGTGCTGATTGCTTTTCTCTGCAGATGCATGATATTAAATGAAGATTCGACAATTTTTTTAAAATATATTTATCATGTACTTACCTGACCGTGACAAAGCATATATTTTTTAATCGTGAAACTTGCTTGAGCGCCGAAACAGTGCACAACAACAAAAGTGCTAATAAAACTCTGTTCTCTCAAGTATCGAGAAGAGTCGATCCAAACTTGGAGGACGTCGAACGACAATGAAACATCGCCGTCGCATAGTTCGTCACCCCGTCCCCAAACGCCAGCTTTTCCCGTGCACGCCCGAACGCCGTACCTCAACGCTCCGACACCGACCGTCCAATTTGATTTGGGCAATGAGCGATTGCCACCTAAAAGTCCTACAACCCAGCGGTGAGTTTTCTTAATGATCTTATTTCCCCAATAGACCTAACGAGCATCAATAGTATAGGAATCAATACCTACCAATTCTAAATTTTAGAAAGGACCGACCCTTGACCCCCAACGATCAATTTTACGGCATTTCCGATAGCGAATATTCGCAAAGTACATTAAGAAGCGCATCTGCTTCGGGTTTTAGAGAGTACAACGGGTCCGCGTCACCCACGTCTTACTACGGTCACTCACGACACGGCTCGATATCGTCCAGTAGCGAGCAGCAGTCACCGCAGGAAGTATCAGCCGCTCACGTTAAAATAGTTCGGGACACCAGCAAATTCTGGTACAAACCTACTATAACACGGGAAGAAGGTAATCAATTAATACAACATAATACCCAATGTAATGTAATATTATATGTCGTCTATATCTTATTATCACCTTAGACCAAATTTGGAAAACCCCGCGGTACTAAAGTATTGCGATTTATTTAAGAATAACTGCCAAAATCTTAAATCGAATGTTGAAAATGTTTGAACTATATTTTGCTCCCGAAATTTTGAAAAATTTAGTAATTATTAGTAAAAAGTTTGTAATGTCTAAGTATAAAATATATTTTATATAAATTAGCAAAATTCTTTTTACTTTACTCAAATGACATTAATTTTACAGTAGTTATCTAAAGTTATAGACAAGTTTTTTGCATTTGTAAATTTAATGTAGTTTGGAAGATCCAAAAAATTCTTATAAACAAATAAAAGTAAAACTGCAATATCAGGTAGCGCACGTTGATAGTATTTTGTGACAAACTGTGACTGCGTCTTTTGTGACAATGTATTAACTTGGTGGGAAGTAATCAATTTTAGACCACATAAAACATAGAACTGTGGAAAATACTATTGTGTATGTTTCCTTTCAGCCATAAACATGCTGCGGGATCAGTTGCCCGGCACTTTTGTCGTTAGGGACTCGAATTCATTTCCTGGTGCCTTTGGACTCGCATTGAGGGTGGCTACAGTGCCGTCGAATATACAGACGAAAGTAAAGGGTTCATCCGACGAATTAATTCGACATTTTCTGATCGAGCCAACGTCGAAAGGAGTGCGATTAAAAGGGTGCCCCAATGAACCCATTTTCAGCTCACTTTCGGCTCTGATTTATCAACATTCGATAACGCAAATAGCTCTGCCTTGTCGGCTCGTCTTACCTGAGCGCGATTTAAAGTAAGTATAATTACAAGAAAACCTGGGCCTGCAACGGCAGTAAAGAGCATCTAATAATTAAATTGACAATAGGTTTATCGTTTATTTTTACTAAATGCAGATATTTTGCTCACGGGAGCGTCAAGTATCATTCTTATTATGAGAAGCATGTCCACACCTAGATTTAATTTTTTACGAGAAAACCAAACCGTGGTCATTTTAGTTAGTTTAGAAAAAAATTCTCTTGTATGTTTTATAATATCAAGACCCAAATGCTTAAAAAAGAAATTGTTACACATTTTGCAGAACTAAGGTTTAAAGCTTTAATTTATATACATGAAGCTCATCCACCAATTCTATTTTGCTACTTATATCCTTTTCAAATGCATAATGCTTGACCATTACATTAAATATTGTTAAGATACGACGCCCAAGGTCAGCAGGCAGCTCAGCTTCAGCAGTTGCAAGTACAAGGAGCGGCGTGCAATGTTATTTACTTATGCACTATTGAAATGGAGTCGTTAACTGGTCCGCAAGCCATGAAAAAAGCGGTGATGCAGCTGTTTCAGATGTCGCCCCTACCCGACACAGCCATAGTTCACTTCAAGGTTAACGGGCAAGGGATTACGTTGACCGATAACAAAAGGAAGCTATTTTTCCGAAAACACTATCCAATTAACACAATATCGCACTGCGGTCTAGATCCAGAAGAACACCGTTGGTTAGTTAATGCGGAGGAAACGGGTTCAGCGAAAAGTTCCAAGTGAGTTTTAATGTCCCATCGGACGTTCCATCATTTTCTGAAGACACGATTCTAAAAAGAAAATGTAGATATTGTTTTTTTTTTTAATTAAACTGTAAATTATGACTTAGTTTTCTTTTTCAATTTCAAATTTTGTGATTTACATTTTCTTTAACTTAGGCAATTTGCTTTACAAGACATTGCAACAGATGAAAAAAACAATCAAATAAAACCAACCATTTGGTGTTTGTTTTCACTAATAATACAAATTTTCTGTAAGCTTTTCAAAAATATTAACTTAGCATTTTTGTGAATGCTTAACCGTTCTATGAAATATGTTTTTGCACTTGTTATATTGTAGTCGCCTAACTTGTTTCAGCCGAATCTTTGGTTACGTGGCGAGAAAGCCCAACGTGACTAACCCCGACAACCAGTGTCATTTATTTGCTGAACTAGACCCCGATCAGCCTGCCACAGCCATTGTCAATTTCGTAAACAAGGTCTTAAGTTCGAACGGCATCAAACCAAATATTGTATAATTACACAAAAAGTGTGAGTTAAAATCTTGAAGTTTGAAAAGTTTTATTTCATTTTGAACAGGTTCGTGTAGTGCCTTCTTACATTCGAAAATGCGTTAGTTTTCGATGTTTTCGAAAACGAATCCATTATTTTTTTATAAATTTTATCGTCGGCACTTTGATTTCTGAGAACGTGTTGCCAAATTTTTTAACATTGGAGCACAAGGAGAAGTCTAATTTGTACATAGCTACACTACCGATTGCATTAGCCCACTGAACCTTCTAAAATCATGTAATATTTTCCTAGTCTTATGTTTTACGCATTAACTTTGAGTATTACTTAAATTATTTTTGTTCTTATATTATATACTTTTAATGTTGTATATATATGTTATGTATTTATTTTAAGCCATACCTAAGAAGCTGCGCTTCGACCCTGTGAATTGCTCGTATTCAGAATATAAGTAAATTCACGCGAAAATTGTTTGGCGGAGGACGAAGGACTTTGTTAGTGTTTTTGTTATGAGAAATTAACAAAAAATTACAACGGAATGGATGTATCATAACTATTCTTGCTGCATAATTTTGTTGCTCTACCTGTCCATCTTCATTTGTTCTTGGTCGTTCATGCCGATGGGGAAAAATGGGCCAACACGCAGGCATGTTTTCTTTTTATCAAATCTTATGAATGGCATGATATAAATTTTTTTATTTAAATAAATTGATTTAAATTTTAGCTCCATGAATTAACAAAGAAAAATGTTGTGTCCATCTGGGAATATGTTTTATTACCCTTTTGAAACATTTTTTATTGATAGTGAATACTTTAAAAATAATTAATTACGATTTTAACTATACTTAATTTTTATATCTTTATGCGATAGCCATTCAGCGATATTCCAGACATTCCTTTAGGAAACAATAGACTTGGTAAAATTTTCTAGCAGTGCTCGTACTAATTTGGCTATCCAATATGAGCTAAATTTCTTTTGAACTTCTTATTGTTTCTATTCATAAAATGAGGCAAACTTTTATATCACTAAATTCCGATTAAAGCTTTAAAAGCATAAACTTACCTTTGTAATAAATAAAATATCAATTTACATTCCATTTGTTACTTCCTGTGTACATTGTGCCATATGGAATCATACACATTTTACCCTATTGAGGAGGGTAGAAAATAAATAATGAAGATGACGAGGAATGAAAGGTTTTGTTCAAATAACAAATTATACTTTGCATTAAGCGACTTCTATAAAACTGTAAGATAATTAGAAAATGGATCCATCCTGAGAACATTGTTACTATGTACTCAAATGGACACATAATACAATAGAGGCTCAATTTTATACTTTCACATATAGAGTAAAGTTTGTCTGATATGTGCCCACAATACGCCGTATCATCCCTATTTCCCCTAAAGGTAAAGTCACCAAAAAGCAAGCTAACAGTGTTGATAAACTCGTAACGTTGTGATGTCATTCTTATTCATTTTCACGTCGCACTAACAATGTCTTAGCAGTGTATCAAAATAGTTCTGAGGTATATTTAAAGGACTACTGCATTAACATTAGTCAATGAGTCGTTAAAGTCTAAAGAATCTCTATAAAACTGTTGTTAGTTCATAAACAAATACTGTAAGATTATTCGCTAATTTTTATTTTCGCGAAAGTACAAAAATTTAAAATATCCAAATCTGTTCACTGAGCATTATTTCAAAATCATAATATTGAATTGATATATTGTATGTTATGTGAACTTAAACACTAACAACGATGTTTCAAAAAAGTAAAGGTTACTAACAATAATGTTGCGTTTTTATAATATCCACCTATCCTTTTATCCTTAGTGAATCGATATACAGTATGCCTAGAGACGATGTTGTGTCCACGTCACGGCTAGTAGGGGTAAACCCGTAACACTATTATAAACTACTTACTTGATATGTTCAGCCAAATCAAGATCAAACTCGATAATAGTGTAAATGACCAGCGCTACAAATTAAGCAAAAAATTCCATTTTGTCTATGCTGTCATAAATAAAGTTATTTATCAGCTTATTTTAATTATGGGCATCAAACAGGGGAGGAAATTTGAAACGGTCTCGAAAAGAAGTCACTTTACATTTGTGCAAATTCGGAGGCACTGCTTTTTTAAAAAAGCGGTTTTTATCATTTTGCTTTCCTTTAAGGTTTTCTGACAAGTCTAAACGTAATCCTTGAATGCCGAATCAGCAGTATTCTTTATTTATTAACAGATTGAAATGTTAAAAATATTAAATAATAAGGATTTTCATCTACAAAAAAATACATTTTGTATCTTATTTACGCATTTTAACATTAGTTAGTCGGGGTTAAATATGACAACAAATTGTAAAATAAAATGCTGATAATACAGCCTATCTTGGAAAACAAAGAAATAGAATTTTAACTTCATACATCCTGTACTTCCTGAACCAGAATTACACTATTATTTAGAGAGAAAGGATGCAAAAGGCTTTAAATACACATTCTGCAATTTAGTTATGAAGAAATTTTAATTTACAGTTCGCAATGTGAATAGTTTTTTTGACTTCATGAAAATGTATTCATGGCTATGGCTTCATGAAAATTATTATGTAGTACACCTATCAAAATTTGCAGTTATTGTAATTCCTTGAAAAGTCAGAATACTTTATTTTTGCGACTTGTAATATTTAAAGAATCCATAAAACATAATTATGATCATTTTAAATTACAAAAAAAAGATAATTTTTTAATTTCATATATCCATTAGTTTTATGTGTTTAAGAAGCAAAATTTTGATTATATATATATAAAAGCAAATGTCATTATTTTCTACACAGGCATGTGCAAGGTACCACTTTAGCCAATTCTAGCGTTTTCGGTATTTTAGTCATGGATTGGAAGGAATCGGATATTTTCCTTAGATATTTAAAGCAGTGATGGTATTTTGGCAGTTTTCAGTTCTGATGGTTCCGATGGTCTTCTGCGTTTATCACGTAACTTATTAAAGTGAATTTTTTTATGACGGTGGTACAAAAAGTATACTGTCCAACTCATTCAACATTTTTACAAACTCATCTGAAGTGTCGTTTATAAAACTTGTTATTATACTGTTTAAATGAACATAAACCGACACTGTCACCTTTTCGGAGACGGCAATAGTGGTATTATTTAAAAGGGATCCCTGTTTAGGTATGTATATTTAACATAAAAAGAAAATGCAATACTAGCTACAAGATTTAGTTGTGAAGGCAACCTTGCATATCCAACCAAAGATTTTTTTCTGGAGAATGGAGGATTTATTGCAACGCTTTAAGCCCCCTTTGCTTTTTTAACTCTTACAATAATTTTTAAAATTTCATTTTTATACAAAATCAATACTGATCATCAAATCCAAACAGAGCTTTAAACGCACTTTTTATTCAACAAATTTCCGATGTTTTTAAGTGTTCAAAGATATTCTAATTTGCATTAAATATCACTTTGAAGGTTATCCACAAAATACGCAACTCTAAATTGTAGTAACGATGTCGTTATTTTCGATGAAGGAAACCTTAAGAGTAACCCAATAATTAAATTATTCTTGTGTCCCTTATGTTTTTCCGATTTAGTAATCGCTGCGTTGCATTTACAACATCAAACGAATACAAAACTATCTTTTAAAATGGAACACTGGATCAAAAACCAATACGAAGTGGCATTCGGGAGCCGGAAAATTTCGTCCGCTATTAAGATGATATTCAAGAGAAACGAGAGCACAAACGAAGAACGTTTTTTAATACCGGATCCGAGTTTGGAAACAAAGATTGCACAAAAAAAGACTGAAAACGCGAGAGAGTGCGACAGACAGCAGAACAAATTCGTTAGACAAACGTCCAGTCTCGTTGGAAGTCTGAAATTTAAGAGGCAAAGTCAAAAGGAGAAAGACAGGAGACCCAAAATTGCATCAGTTTTGGTCACATACGATAGAAACGGTGTTGCCGGCAGTAAGTATTCAAATTTCATATTTCTTTAAATTTATGTCACATTTTCCACACTTTTTTCAATATTAAGTATTGAAACGCATCATATCTTTTTGCTAGAAGCAATACAACAAATTTTCTTACAAGTTCAGAATTTTATTTATTTTTTTTGAAATTCCACCCTTCTGCCATTTGTATCTTTAGGGATATACGCATTAATACTGATTCGCACAGCTTCTTAATTTTAGCACAGAGTACTTTATTCACCAAAAAATAAATACATTAGGATCTAATGAATACTTATTTTAGGTAAAAAAGTATGTCAAAAAGTCAGTTTAGTTGAAGAAACTAGTGCATACTTGGCATTTAGTGGTAACATAACATGTGGATATGTAAACTTCGTCTTCGTAACCTCAATACTGTCATATTGCAAGCTACGTGATGTTTCAATATGCTAGAATTTCTCAATAATTATATATTTAACTTTGAATTGAAAATTAAGAACTTCACGGTATAAATCAACATTTTTAAGTATATTCACAAAATTTTTCGAAAAGCGTTTAATAAAACACAACGCTTTTGTCAATCTCGATAAGAGGGTTTCGAATGCACGGGCATTTCAAAAAAGACATTACGACTTTAAAATAGTGAACGTTTATCAAAATTCGACGTCTCTGTTATAGTAACCCGGAAGTAACAAAGTTTTTTATTTTAGATCTTGGAAACTGCAACAGAAACGATTCTATCTGCACAAGAAGAGAGTGCAACAGTACTACAGTATGACGTTTTGTTAATATAAGCACTAGCTCGTATTATTTTTGTACATAAACATTCCATATTATAATCTGCACCTTACAAAATGTTTTGTAGGGATAATGAAATTGGTAATTCACGTAATTAAGTAAATATGTACGTACTTTTAGGAATAGAATACAATATTTTAATGTTATATGTCTAGGTGATGACACAATAAATGTATCATCAGTTCGTTGGATAAGAGTTGTTTCATTGAAAAATATTTACCTAATCAAAACAAAAATATACACAAACCACCAATACTCTACGGAGCAATATCCAATAGCTATGAAAATGCAGGTTATTTTATTGATTTGGTCAAATTCTTTTCTTGGGATCACTATAAATAAACAAAATTCGGTTAAGTATGCATTAAATACAAAGCCGAAATCGAAAATCTGTTTTATGATGTGGAAGGAGCGTAAAAATATCCGATAGATTTGATAAGATTACGCTATTAAACTGCACAAATAGAGAAATTAAGTCTGTTATTACGCAAAGACACAGTTTTATAAACTGAGAGAAACTTCAGTAAAAAAATTTTATATTCGTCAAACTATTTTTTATACCTAGTGGTTTAGCTGTATCCTGGTAACTAGAAATATTGTCACATTAAAGTTGGTGAATTGAGACCACTGGGTATGTGCTATAAATATTCCTGCGAAGTATGGACACTTACCGATAAATCACCCTGTACATTTTTCGACAAGTACGACATTTGCTTAGTTTTCACAAAACGCACCTAAATACTCCATTTATACATAAAGTGCGACCTATTTCCAAAATTGACTTAACCCAAATTGATAGTTCGCTTACTATTCTTCAAAAAAAATATGGAAATAATCTGTAAAACAGATACGGTAAAATTAAGTCAGTTTTTTTTTATTTCATTTTAAAAGAATAAGTAGGTATAAGTACAATATAAAAATATAAGTAGGCACTAATCTGATATAAATAATAAAAAAAACATGCTGTGGATATAGAATGTCTTTAATTGGCCAAAATAATATTTGGTTGATTGATTGGTGCATTGATGTGTTGATTCAGGATTAGGTTGAATACTACTGATAGTATTTTGTCAGTAAGATTAAGAGCCTGAAAGTCTTGGGGAACGATCAAACCTGTAATGAAAATACTGACCATATGAGGTGACTTTAAGTAATACTAATTGTTGTGCATCTGGCTGCTATAAGTTGATAGCAAAATTCCTTCAAAACACTCTTACTAGTTGTCATGTTGAAAATGTTGAACTAAACACGTCCCAAATATTAGTCTCGAATTGTATCTGCTAAGTCCATTGGGAAATGTAGGGATTTTTTTGGATTATTTATTTGATACAAAATGCTTAATCCTAATAAGCTCAAACAAAATATGGCGCGTTTCATTTTATATTGTCATTAACATTTTTCTAAAGAAATCGTCCTAATTCCTAAGCAAGCGAAAAAGCACATTTTCTCGATCATCCCAGCATGTCAGCTAAAATTAGCCTTCCCTTTAAACTTCGAATATTAAATATTCTTCGTCGACATTGCACTGTTCGAAAGCGCTAAACGTATTTATTATCGACAATCTGTCAAAAAATTACTTCGTTCAATTCGTTAGAAAAATCGCACCATGAATTTACAATTGCCGCATTTTGGCTTCATTCGGATTATATAAAAGCTGCTACAGACCCAGGCGAAGTATAGTTGGTGTCTTGACTTTGTCGAATGTCAAGGGGTGGTAAGACTCATTTTTTTAGTTAGTTAGCGTTATGTACCATTATTATGTTCGTACTTTTGATGTTACAGGAATATTTTTAGTAACAGAAATAATAAAAAAGTTTCAATGAGTAGAAAACTATTAAAAGTATGGCACAAATTGCAACAACAGGCAGTACTGGCTGGACAATAATTACTAAGTCAAATGGTATACGATTTTTTCTCGTGCTTAAATTTAATATATCTATAACACACCAACTTACACACTAACACAACTAATTTTATTTATCGGGTGTTTTCGGTAGATTTTTTAATGAGAGAAAAATTATATTTTTTATTATGAAAATTATACTTGAGAACAAATGTATATATTTTTCTACATTGCATTGCGTTTGTTTTTAACAAAATTATATAGCCCGAAAGCTTATGCTTATGAGAATTATTATGGGGTTGTATGTTTTTAATGTTTTACCTGTAATGTTAAATAGGTGTAAAAAACTGCAAAAACAATTTTATCTACCCAAAAATAACTGACAATTTGATATTCCAATCAGTTTTCGAACAACGATTTAATTTTGTGTGTTGACCATTCTGCCAGAGTGGTTTGTAAAATTTGTGGGCATGCGTGCAAGAATATTGTATATCCTCAAAATTCGCCAAGGGGTAAACTAAAAATTCGTCAGTTGTCTTCAATAGTCTAAGTTACTTATATATTATTAAATTCATTATATAACTAAATAATATAATAAAATAAAAGTACCTATACATGTTTTATTCTTTCAGAGCAGAAATGAAAAGTCTTTGTTCCAGCATGATGCTGGTGATGATATTTTATTTCATATTCATGTACCAGTTCGGGATAAGTTTCGGCGTCATGCGAGACGGAAATATTGTCTCCCATAACAGCAGAGGTCAGAACCCAACGAGAATGATATCCAGGCATAACAATCAGTATTTTCCAGCCAAATCTGATCCACTTCTAAATGACTTAGACGGTTGGTATTACTTACTTTAAAAATATTTTGATTAATTAACTTGATGTGATTCTTACTTGTATTTCACTCTAAAACTCTGCGTTGAACACCGCGTTTTAAAAGTTTAGGTTTGCCTGAAAATTCGTATAGTATAACGGAGATATATAATGAAATTTCAATTTAAATCTTTCATCTTTCAATTATTATAACTTTTTTTCCACTTTTAATGTTCCTAGCTGCCAACTAGATGTCGAACAACAATTAGTATGTCTGTCAATTTCATTTCTTTTTCATAGAATTGACACCTATGAAAATAACGGAAAAAGGATAGTAATGAAAAAAAAAGTAGGTTTCTATAATAACTATATCTAAAATTTATATTGATAATGATTAAAAAGTCATAAAGGTACACAAAAATAATGTAATTAATAATTTAAGCTTAAAGAAAAACAAAAATTGTAGGAGATAATGTGATGGTTGAAACAATTTGTCTTGTTGTCCATTAGACACGAAATTATCCATTGTTGTTTTATTTTCTACCGCATCCCCGGTCATATTTTCATAATTTTTGCTTACTTTACTAAAACAAATGGAAAAGCGCCACTATCCGGTGTAGAGTAAGCAGGCAACAAATTTAAAAGAATGAAGGGCGTATCATTTACAAATTGAAGGTCTCTTCCGCATCGCATCAGCGTAAAATTGTTTTAAACCACCCCAATTTCAGATGTCTATCTTACAACTTAAGTGTTAGTGAAAACTAGTCCAATCGTAAGTTAACGGTAATCGTAAGTTAATCGAATTTATAACATACTGTGTGCTATTCTTGCAAAAAAAAAATTATAATTTCTGTAGCCCGTCCATACCACTATATTTTTTAAACAATATATTGAAAGGTTGCTTGATATCTCAATTGTGTGTAATGGGAAAACCATTAATGCAACAAACTAACTGCTCGATTACTCTAAAAGTATGTGCTGAGCAATGGTACTAACTTTTACTTTTTACAGATGAGGACGAATTTGGTATTTCCAAACGGCAACCGCAACAGGACGACTACGGGCACCTTCGATTCGGCAAACGAGACCAACAGTTCGACGACTACGGACATATGAGGTTCGGACGCAATGGGAACGAGTGACGTGCGACCGTTCAATAGAACAATACATTTACAACCATAAAGATAACTGTGTTTCAATTCAGCAATATAGATCATTTCTGGGTTAACTCTAAAGGATTTTATTTATGACCTGCGAAACTATAGTTTCCTATGTATCCAAAGACCGATAAATCCTTGATAAAACTTGCAATTAAGATAGATAATAATGTTTATTTCCATTGACTTTTAACAAAAGTATCGGGTAATGTCAACAAGTAAAAAAAATACATTAGAACACTAAAATACAAACTTTAAAAACAGATACATACAAACGCACAAAGTATATCACTCTGAGAGATCGGCATTACTACAAAGTATTCATCAATAGAATAAAAAACATTCTTATTCAAAATGACCTGTTATTTTTTTAAATAGATGGACAGGCAATATCTGTTTGACGGACAAAGACAACTTTTTATATAGTTTTATTGGTAAAATCATAGGGCTGTTAGTTACTTTGGATAACTTGACTTGGCACCTGCAAATTAAGAATGGCTCTAAAATTGAAATCTCCATCAATTCTGGTCATACAATAATTAGATTACTCCTTATGTAAATTATGTATTTAATAAATTATGTCTTTAATATGAAAAAAGAGGGAAACGTTAAAATATTTAATTTTGGGAACAGGGTTCTACAAGAGTGACCACGAGACTTCTCCAACATTGTTCGAACAATACGTGTTTGTTGGACAAAAACTTTACTCTGGAGGAGTTTTCCCAGCATATAAGCGTAAGATAGGCAAGATTAAACATATCCGAAATAATACAATAGTAAAAGCTGAAGATCCACACTCGACCGCAGTCGCCAAATAACAAAAGTATGCATAGCCATTTTGTTTAATACGGAATAAATTTGGCATATCCAGGACAAATTACTGTCTGTGAACAAACTCAAATACTGGACAACGTTAGTCTGATTAATCGATTTATCCTGCATTCCAACCAATAAGCTCTTGTTCATATCCCTAAGCGAAAACAACATCATCTTAGTCTTTGTCCGGTTCAAAGAAATACGGTTATTATAATATAATGGGAAACCAAGCTTTGGGAGATTGATAGATAAATGTGTTCTATATATAGAAAATATTTTTGAATAACAAATGTCGCGTCACAATTTCAAAACACAAATAGCATTTTACCTTGATTCAGGAAACCCAAAACACGTCTGCGCGTGTACTGCTTCTTCCAATGCCACTAATATCACTGAGAGTAGGTATTAAATCATTTGTTCACATAATGTGATTCATTCGCATGACCACATATTGTTACGATTTAGGTCAAACAATTATTTTCGCCAAATACTTTAAAACGATTTGACGTATCCTTGCCATACATACATGATACTAGAAAATGTTAAATAAAACTTTTTGGTTAGAGGCGTTCGATAGTGACGTGCCTGGCTAACCCTCCCCAAATTCTATGCACAAGCGGAAATGCTATATCTTGTTGCATCCATCTCTGAAAAATAACCTATAATGCCTCTCCATATCTTTAGCGATTTTTCAGATATTAATAATTTTTCCCATTTTTTACAGCCATATTTGAATTCGTGCAGCTGAGTTTTAGCCTAGAATTATTATTATACTGGTGGGAACAACTATTTTGGGAGACAATTAAAAATCCCTCTAATGATATATCCAATATGGCTGTAATTGGAGCTGTATTTTAAACTAAAAATTCGTATAAAAATGACAAGAAATTTATGGCGGAACAGATTATCCAATAATATACTAAAATAATAATAATAACAATAATAATAACAATAATTTACTCTCGTTCAAAAGATGGCGCTATTAGCTATAACTATAACTATTTTTGAAAGGCGTTCCTACTAACCACGGTGACATACATATTTATCTCTACATAGATTCGAGTTGCGTTTTTAAGTTAGGTAGGACTGCTTTTTAGGATTATTTAAATTTTATTTGTGGTATTCTGGGAATATAGTAGCAAGTCATAATGTTTAAAAAATATTCGATATTCAGTTGAACAATAGAGTGTAGCGTAAATATTTTGCTAAGGAATAAATGTTATTTTAAAAAAGTGTATGTGTAAAATTTTAGTATTACCTTTTATCTAACATCAACGTCAAAATCGAAGATACAATTCAACAAAAACTGCCAACACAGACATCAAGCAACTACTCACCCTACAAAAAACTTTTGGTATTATTCCAAGGGCTCTTGATTTAAAAACTAATACATCCAGGGCACTCTCTTGCAACGATAAATGACAGCCCCCGCGTCAGTCAATCAATTCACGAAGTCACTTTTACATTTCGATTGCGATAAGTTATAACAATGTCCAGTAATAGTCAACACGAATTTGAAAATGAGTTTGCCAACATCGAGTTATACTGCAGAGAACTTTTAACTGAGATTAACAGAAAACGGGTAAGAACGCATTTTTAAGTATGTTAACTCTCGTTCATAATTTCAAAAAATAAACCTACTTGATTTGAAGAGAATATCTACATTACAAATTATAACGCGAAGCTAAAAATTTAATTTAATTAATTTTTAATTTTAATTAATTATTAATTTTTCTCTAATATTTTCAACCTTGGTAGCAATAAATGTTTGTTTGCATGTATATACGAAAAAGACAGAATTTGAAAAATATGGATATTTGGGACTCCAACTAATTAAAAAAAGTATTAAATTATAAAGTGAATTAAAGTCGAACTTCGATAACTCGTGCGTGTTAGTTTGTCTTGATTACTCGAATATCTTGATAACTCGAACGAAACAAATGGTGCCAACTTCGATAAGTCGAATTTTCTCGGGGAACCCCCTAATTACGACCGATCTTAACCTGTCTTTTTAACGTATCTATGCAAGCAGTTCAGTTTCCGTGCTTGGTAAGTTCACTTGTATGACTTACTATATAATACTAAGTCAAAAATACTGTCCCTATTCAATTTACACATTATATTAAAGACATTTTTGGATTTTTGCATTTGTTGACATGTCATCAAAACGTACTTTAAAAGCTTTGTCTGTTGATCAAAAATTCAAGGTTATAAAAGAAGTGGAAAGTGGCTCAAAAAATAAAGATGTAGCTGTGAAGTATGGGATTTCGGCAAGTACAGTGTCTATAATTTTAAAAAATAAACATTCGGTCATCACGGCAATGGAACGTTTCGAAGAAAACAAAAACAATAACATTACACTAATGGATTGTGTTGACGACATAACTACCGCATGGAATATCGACGTTAAGCCTGAAACAATTTCCAATTGTTTTAAAAAAGCCGTTTTTGGTCAGTTTTCTGAATGGGAAGAAGATGAGATTCCCTTCATTTTCCTAAGTGAACGCCTCAAAGAAAAGAGTGAAGACGAAATCCAAATAGAAATCGAGTTTAAAGCTTGGACAAACATTAGAGGTACAGCAGAAGGTAGCACCATCAACAATTTTATGCATGTGGATGAGGATATTGTTACTTCAGAGTTTCCTACTGATGAAGATACCATCGAGTCCTGCAGATCCGAACCGGTACAGTTAAACATCGAAGATGACTGTGAAAGTGACACGATGGAGGAGGAATTGGAAGATGATTCTCAGCAACCACCTTCAAATGAATTGGTTGAAAATTCGTTGATTGCCTTGCGTTCCTATTTGAAAACCAGTGAATACACAACCGATTCCCTCTATGATTGTTTAAATAAAATTGAAGCTTTTGTTGAAAAGCAAAATAAGAAATCCGGTCGTCAGTCACAAATAACTGACTTTTTTCCAGTGAAAGAGTAAACTTTAATATGTACATACGTATGTATGTATATGTGCACACATACTATGTTTATATATACCGGGTACATATACAATACATATATATTTCATAATTTTCATTTTTTGTTCAAAAATCATAGATATTAGGGCATTTATGTAACGTATAACCCATTTTTAAAAATGAATGAATAAATGTTCATTCACAAAAAAGTACATGCATTTGTAGTTTTTATTGATAACTCGAAATTTTCATCTGTCAAATCGCAGTTCGACTTATCGAAGTTCCACTGTATCTTTACTTTTACCGCAATCAAAAATCGGAAATTTTAAAACGTTTGTAAGTTAATTGAACTGAGGTGGCCTTTACTTGATGAAAATCCATTTATCCAAATTAATAAGAACTAAAAGTTCAGATTTTCACCAAATTATATATTATGACATGACAATTGTTTCGACAACACCGTGTCTTTATCAGATGTCATTTGATAAAGACACGGTGTTGTCGAAACAATTGTCATGTCATAATATATAATTTCGTGAAAATCTAAACTTTTAGTTTGTAAGTTAGTTTACCTAATGAAATGCATATTTTAGGAGGAAAATTCCAAACTAAAAACTGAAATGGAAGCACTAACGAATGAAAATCAAACGTTGAAAACATCGTTAGAAATAATGAAAAAGTCTCTCGAGGAAAATGAAATAATATTGGAGGTGTTTACTAAAAAGGCCAATGAATACGAACAGAAATGCCAACAAAAACGGGACTTGCTGTTGAAAACTCAACTTCAGTACAAAATAGCGGTACCATGATTCAATTACAAAATTGTACTTATGACTTTAAGGCTAATCTAAATTAGGTGGCTAAAGTTGAAAGTTTGCGCGAGGATCTGCAAAGTGTGTACTTAGAAAAGGCTCAACTTCAAAAACATCTCTCTAGTGTGGAAGAAAATTTTAAGCAGGCATCCACCAATCAACTTGATATTTCAGACAAAATAAAAGGCATCAAAAAGGTCGTTAATAATGTCAAATAGTAAGTCCGATAAAAGCGAACTCCCGGAATCTTTTAAGTTTCAAACCTTAATCATAATCCACCTGCTTATAGCGCAACGCCTTAATCATTGTCACATTTGCTAATTATGCCTAACTGAGATAAAGGAACTCCTTTACAAAACCAATAAATCCTTCGACTTTCCTGTTAGGATTTTTTAGCAAACAATGCGGTTCCCTCCATAATTTATACATTTAGAACCGACCTTCTGTAACTATATAAATATAAAAAGACGCATGGTCATTGAATGGAGGAACCTAAAAAATGACAAAAACGAT